CCTATGGCACCTGCGTCCCGCAAGCACACACATTTCTCTTTTCAACAAGAACAACCGGCAGTTTATCGTTGAAACTTCTATCCTTCGTTTCCATTTCCATTTTAACCCAATAGCTATAATATCGTCTCGCCAAGAAATATTTCCGGTTCGCGCTTATATTGTACGGTTTAATGACTTCTCTCTCATGAGTATAAAAAAATAATTTTATCCCTCAAAACATTACAATTTTATTTTTTATTCGAATATAAAAAAATTTTTATTCTTCTTTTTACTGTGATTCTTAAATTCAAAACATAAATTAAATATCAATTGAATGAAAAAGAAGAATAATTTTTCAGTGTAAAAATAAACTCCACGTGTTCTTTCGTGCGCGATTTTTAGTCGTCTTTTGAAATCAAGTATGTGGTGAAAGAAATAATATTTTCAATGCATGGATATTAATATGTGATTAATAATTTTTCGTCTAATGAATGAGGTGATAATTGGTGTTATATATTTTTTTTGATAAAGAAAAATTCATTAGTAGTATTTTTTTTTGTTTTTTTTACTAAATATAATATTCATACCAAACTAATTTTTTGTTTTCACCTTCTTTGTATAATTTGAAATTCAACAAATTTTTTTAAAAACTATAGAGTGATATCAATAAATTATTAAAATTAGTATTTAAATCGTTATAGTTAATTTTAAACCATATAATTAGATTTTTTTTTATTTTTATCTATTTTCATATTTTTAATAATTCAAAAATTTCTCCAAATCGTTTCTTTTTTAATTTCTCATATTTTTATATTAATTTCAATTTAACAATTAAAAGAATAATTTTGGGAAAATTCAATGATTAAAAGTTTAATTTAGATTTAATAATTTTAAAATTCAATTTCATTGATAATTTTACTTTCTTGTAATTACAATAAACCTATCACGAGAAATAATAATTATAAAAAAAAAATTTTTTCAATAATAATTTTTCCTAGTTAACGTTTTTTGTTAATAACAAATTTTAACTAAATAGTATGAGAAAAAAAAATTTGTAATATAAAATTAAAAATTACTTTTTATTAAACTTACGGTTTATTAAAACTATTTTTTATTTTTAATAAGTTTTATGGATAATAATTAAAGAATTAGTATAAAAAATAATAAAAGCCTTGTGAAATTTACTCAATCAAAATATAATAATTTCATAAATGATACCTTATTAATTATAATAATTAATAAACAATGTAAATTAGTGAACAATATTAATTACAATAATAAAAAAGAATAAACAACAAAATAATAAATAACAATTCATTAATTATTAATCATAGTGAATAATTATAAATTATTTCAAAAAATAATAATAATAACTAATAATAATAAAATGAGTGATAATTTAATAATTAAAATAACTAATTATGATAATAAATTATAAATTATGATATAAAAAGGATTAAATTAATAAATACTAATTTGATAATTATAACAAATAGCAACAATTATATTATAACAGTAATACATTAAATAGCAATAAATTAAGAGTTACAATATTTTTAAAATTATTATTGACTCATTAAAAAGTAAATTATTTAATTATATTATTGTGAATACTAACTTTAATAAAATTATAATAAACGCTTCAAAATTTGAATTCTCGGAGCAAAACGTTTTCGTATCGTTTGTTTTCAGAAAAATACTATAGTTAATTAATTATAATTATGCCGGTATTTATAAATAAAAAAACGCCATTAAAAAAATAATTTATGAAAATAAGTTTTCGAGTCGATGATAATCTGTCGGAACAAAACGTTTGCGTATTTTTTGCTTTTTAAAAAAATACTATAAAGTTAATTAATTAATTATGCCGGTGTTTAAAAATATAAAAAAAAAGTCATTAAAAAAATAATTTATGAAAATAAATTTTCGAGTCGATGATAATCTCTGTCTCTTCACAAATAGTATAATTGTCTTTGGAAACTAGATACGTTTTAAAATTAGAATCTCTTCCATGAATGAAGAGTTGTTGAGTATTTTCTCCCAGGAAGTTAAATATACAATGAAATTGAGATATAAAAAATTATTATTATTACTGTTATTATTATTATTATTATTGGTATTTTTGTTACTTAACCGTAAAGTCATGAAGTACAAATATCTTTTTTGTAGTGTATAATCATTTTTTTTTTTTTTTTGAAAAACATGAAAAATATGAAAAGCTTTTTTTTAATGAAAACAAAAATGAACTTCTATTGTTGAAAGAAAGAGTGTTGAGGAATTTTTTATGGAATTTTTTATTTCTTTTAGTGAGGGTTAAGGGACATTTTAAGAATTTTATTAATAGTGCCTTCAGTGCATGAAATTGGAATCTCCACTGTCTTCATTTTCGTTTTGCGCTTCCAGACTCTTCGTCTGGCGACACTGAGAAATACTTTTACTACTGAAACTTTATCGCGTGGCCAAAATTAATTTTCGTATTAGCATTCAACAAAAGAAATTTGTTTTTCTAATTTTTTAAAACTTGTGCATATTTAATAAATGTATTTTCAATAAATACTTTTAGTTATAACAAATCTTATTTGTAATTTATTATTTTCAAAATTTTCAAAATTTTGAAAATAGAAAAATAAATTAAAAGTTATGTAGCTATCGAAAAATTAAACTTGACAACAAAAAAAATTTCTTCTTCGACACTTCACAAAACTGACAAAAAATGTTATTAACTATATTTTATTTTCCTCACTTTTTCCAAATTTTCATAAAGAATATTTACTTCTTTCTTATCCTGCTAATAAATTAATTTCCTGCAACGAATTTTATTATTCATGAAAGAATTTAAATATATTTATAAAAGTAATTTAATTCTTGCGAGGAATTTTATAAAAATTTTTGAATAATTGATTTCTTTCGACTAATTTTATGCAAATTCTAATTTAAATAATTCAATTCCTGAGAAATTTTTATTATTCATGAAAAAAATTGAATTCTTACGAAGAATTTTACAAAAAAAATTTTAAATAATCGAATTCTGTTTGGAAATTTTATGAAAATAGTAAATATTGAAAATCATTGAATTGCAAAAAGTTTTTAAAAATAATTAAATTTTTCAAAGAATTCTTGTGATGTAATTGAATTTTTCAAAAAATTTTATTAAAATGCCTCAAAGTCAAAATAATTAAATTTTCGGGAATAATTTTGTTATTTATCAACATAATTGAATTCCTGTGAAAAATTCTAATATTTTTGTAAAGAATTGAGTTCTTCGAAATAAGAATTTTAAACAATCATTTCTTTAAACAAGTGATTTTTTCGAGAAATTGAAATTAAATTTTTAAGAATAATTACATTTTTTGAGCAATTCCTTTTAAATATTGTATTAAAAATAATTGAAATCCTGCCATGAATTTTATTATTTTTGAAAATAATTGAATAGTTGTAAAGAATTTTATTAAAATTTTCAAAAATAATTGAAATCCTGAGAAGAATTTTATTATTTATGAAAATAATTGAATTTTTGCGTAGCATTTTAACCAAAAATTTGTTTAAAAAATTGATTTTCTGAGAAAAAATGTATTAGGTTTTAAAAATAATTAAATTCTTGTGATAAATATTGTTATTTATGAAAATAATTAAATTTTGCAAAGAATTTTTAAAAATGCCTCAAAATAATTGAATATTTGGGAATAATTTTGTTATTTATCGACATAATTGCATTCTTGCGCAGAATTATTTTTGTAAGTAATTGAATTCTTGTAAATAATTTTATTAAAATCTAAAAGAGTAATTGAATTATTTCGAAAAAAACTTAATTAAAATTGTATTTAAAATAATTGAATTTCTGTGAAAAATTCTACTATTTATGTAAATAATTGAATTCTTCCAAAGAATTTAAAAAAAAACACTTTTTTAAATAATTTATTTTTCGAGGAATTGAAATTAAATTTTTAACAATAATTACATTTTTTGAGCAATTCCTGTAAAATTGTATTAAAGATAATTGAAATCTTGCCATGAATTTTATTATTTTTGAAAATAATTGAATAGTTGCAAAAAATTTTATTAGTTATGAAAATAATTGAATTTTTCGATTAATTAATTTAAAATATGTATTAAAAATAATTGAAATTCTTCGACGAGTTTTACTATTTATGAAAATAATTGAATACTTTTGCGAAATTTTATGTAAATACTAGACATTGAAAATAAATTGAATTTTGAATATTTTTTGAAAATAATTAAATCGTTTTAAAGAATTTGATTATAATTTTTGAAAATAGTTTTTTGATTTCTAGTATTAGCGAATTTAAAGTAGTGGAAATTCTAAAAAAAACAGAAATAGTAGCTTTTTGTGTATGAAATATAAAAAAGTACCCAAATAGTAGCATAATTTAAAAAAATAGTAAATAGTAAGTTTCAGTAGATGAGTGTTATGCCTGTTATATATTTTAACTGTTTCAGGCAAATTTAATAAACATTTCCAAGTTGAAAGTAAAATAAATAAAAGGGAGTTTTAAATTAGAGTAAATTTTCATAATTTCCTTCTCTTTTTGAATTGAATTTAATATAAAAAGTCAAATTTTAAAAGTTAGTATTCATCTTATAATTTCATTATTATAAAACCATCGAGATAAACTATCATAATTAAAAAAAGTATTAATTATTATCAATGAATAAAAAATTGCAGGTGCAAATAATAAAGCAGTCACGAAGTTAGGATAACGGTTCACGGTGGTTACTTAATAACAGTCATCCCTGATTATTAAGTAGCTCGCCTCATGCACGTCACTATTAACGAGAGGCGAATTATTCAATAGTCAATTGTTGAGAGTCTCTCATTGAAGTTGACGGATGGGGAAGAAGAAAATTATCAAAAACAAAATAGTTTTTGTATTTTTTTTTTTTACTTAAAAAACGAATCATATTTTAAATATTATTAAAAAAAAAGTGTGAAAAAATTAGAGGCGGATGTCCAAAAAAACAGTAGTGATGAACATCTTTTCAAAAATTGGTTATTATTACAGAAAAGAGAAGAGTCACGTGCCGGATCTAAGAGTGCAATTGGACGTTTTCGATGATCAACGTGAGACTGATGAAGAATTGTCCAATCAGGGACCACCAGGAATCGATCTCTCGTCTCACGTCGACGTTTTTTACGCAATCCTTGGACAGGTCAGTTATACTACTTTACTTAGTAGATAATATTTTTTTAAAGATATAATTTTAAATTGATTTTTTTCAAAATTATTTTTTTAAATTTAAAAAAATAATTAAAAAAAAATTTTTTTTTTTAAATTTCGATTGACAAGGGATATAAATTTTTATTTCTAAATAAAGGATATGCTAATTAAATGTAATTTTTTTATCCAGATCGCAGACACACCACAAGAAATACCATTTTTAAGTATTCTTCAACATTTATTGCGACTCGATCCTAAGGAAGCTGCAAGTGATCTTTCTTGGGACACCGCCGAAACGTTGGTCCATCGGGCAACACTTTTGGAGAACAGGGACGATGCCACGAAACTCCTGAGGTCTCCTAGTCTTCAAGTAAGAAAAATGTTTAATTCTATTACAGACTTTGCACTCGATAATTAATTTTAAAAAAGAAGCAAAATGTAGCTTTTAAATTAAAAAAAAATAAATAAATAAAAAAGTAGTAAAAAAATAGCTATCGAAAAATTAAACCTGCGACGACCAAAAAAACTCGTTTTAGAAACTTCACAAAATTGACAAAAATTCTATTCTATATTTTATTTTCCTGACATTTTCCTAATTTTCATCAAAAATATTTACTTCTTTCTTATCCTGCTAATAAATTAATTTCCTGCAACGAATTTTATTATTCATGAAAGAATTTAAATATTTATAAAAATAATTTAATTCTTGCGAAGAATTTTATAAAAATTTTTAAATAATTGATTTCTTTCGACTAATTTTATGCAAATTCTAATTTAAATAATTTAATTTCTGAGAAATTTTTATTATTCATATGAAAAGAATTAAATTCTTACGTAGAATTTTACAAAAATATTTTTAAAGAATTGAATTCTGTTTGGAAATTTTATTACTTTTAAAAATAATTGAATTCTTCTGATGAATATTGTTATTTATAAAAATAATTGAATTTTGCAAAAAAAATTTATTAAAATGTCTCAAAGTCAAAATAATTGAATTTTGCAAAAAAAATTTATTAAAATGTCTCAAAGTCAAAATAATTGAATTTTCAGGAATAATTTTGTTATTTATTTTTAATAATTGAATTCTTTCGTAGAATTATTTATGTAAATAATTGAATTTTTGTGAAAAATTTTATTAAAATGTTTAAGAAAGAATTGAATTTCTGTGAAAAATTTTGTTATTTTTGAAAATAATTGAATTTTTTATAAAAATTTTGTAAACATTGTTTTAAATAATTAAATATTTTATTTTAAATAATTAAATTATTGTCGAAACCTTTAATTTAGAAAAAAATTGAATTTTTCGATTAATTAATTTAAAATAGTAATAAAAATAATTGAAATGCTTCTTTGAGTTTTATTATTAATGAAAATAATTAAATTTTTGCGTAGAATTTTATCAAAAATTTTGTTTAAAAATTGATTTTCTGAGAAAAAATTTATTACTTTTGAAAAATAATTGAATTCTTGTGATGAACATTGTTATTTATAAAAATAATTAAATTTTGCAAAGAATTTTTTTAAATGACTCAAAATAAATTGAATTTTCAGGAATAATTTTGTTATTTATCTTTAATAATTGAATTCTTTAGAAGAATTATATATATGTAAATAATTGAATTCTCAGGAAGAATTTTATTAAAATCTAAAAGAATAATTGAATTATTTAAAAAAAAATTTAATTAAAATTGTATTTAAAATAGTTGATTTCTTTCGAACAATTTTATTAAAGTATTTGAAAATAATTGAATTTCTGTGAAAAATTCTACTATTTATGTAAATAATTGAATTCTTTCAAAGAATTTAAAAAAAACACTTTTTCAAATAATTGATTTTTTCGAGGAATTGAAATGAAAATTTTGAGAATAATTACATTTTTTTTTAGCAATTCCTGTAAAATTGTATTAAAAATAATTGAAATCCTGCGATGAATTTTATTATTTTTGAAAATAACTGAATAGTTGGAAAGAATTTCATTAAAATTTTCAAAAATAATTAAATTCCTGAGAAGAATTTTATTATTTATGAAAATAATTGAATTATTGCGAAAAATTGTAGTAAAATGTTTTAAAAAAAATTGAATTTCTGTGAAAGATTTTGTTACTTTTGAAAATAACTGAATTTTTTATAAAAATTTTATAAACATTGTTTTAAAAATAACGAAAAATTTTATTTTAAATAATTGAATTCTTGTGAACTTTATTTGTGAAAATAATAAAAATTCACATCTCTTTCCTTTTTTCAACGTAAAAATACAACTGGGGTAGTTTGGTACCCCAGTGATGTTAACACATGTTAAACTCTATTACTTGTTATTACAATTCAATTTGCTGCGAAAATTACACTTTGAAAATTATAATTTGTCTACTACTTTTTATCCCGATTACTAATTGTAAGATTTATGTGAAAAATAATCTTGCTACATCCATTAGTTTATGTGAATTTTTTTCATGTCATTATTCTTGACTTTGTATTGGAAACTTAAATGTATTCTTGTTACCAGTAAATTGTAATCATCAATTAACGAAAAGAAAACAGAACACTTATTTCACTTAATTTCGATCGTAAAAATGTTGGAATCCTGCTTAAAAGTTGCTTCCAGAAAACCTTTCATTCCATACAAGAGACTTGAAGCAATGAAAAAAATATATACAGTTGAGTCATTTTTATGTGTAAACCTTGAGCGCGCTTCCTTTGAAGGAAATTAAGGAAGAGCGCCATGAATTTCTTTAATTTGGTAAAAACTTCTTTTTTTATAAATAAAACTCCTGTTGCACTAATTTTTCTGCTAATGAGTATATACTGAGACTTAAATTTATTTCTCTACTATTTTGGAATTTTTAAGTTTATAGTTTATTACTACATGGCAAAAATGTCATTTTCAATACGGCAATTAATTCAGGGTTAATTGTCGTATTGAAAATTTCCATCTGGGGTCCCATATGAACCCAAACGAAAAATAGTATTGTAATTTAATTTTTATTATTATTTAATTTAATTATTTAATTATTACTTCGGTAGTAATTTAGTAATAATAATTTTTCATTTTACAGACAAATTTGTGTTGCCATTGTCGAGCAGCCGATCAGACCTGCAGTACAAATAGAAAGGCCTCGGTACCGACGAGTCCACCACCTCCACCCCCTGCCCCACCGGTACCATTAGCACCACCACCGCCACCAAGTCCTCCCATAAGCTTCGCGTTGCCTCCTCCACCACCGCCTCCCCTCTTCATTCCAATAGCACCTCCAGATGTCCCAATGGAGCCACCTCTTCCACCGCCCCTTCACGTTCCAACCGTTGCAAGGGCTCCAACTCCCGATCCACCCAGCAACAATGCAAAACTTCTACCCCAACAGGAAATTCCCACCCCCAAGACGAAAATGAAGACCATCAACTGGAACAAAATACCAAATCACAAGGTTAGTATTATAATTTTAAATCCTTTTTTCTATCACGAACCCTAATAATGGGTAAATCTTTTTAATTTTTAATCTGCGTGGAAATGGAAAAAATGTAAAATTCTAGGTAACGATTCTTTGGTCCTAAACTATATTTGCCTGTGGACATGATTTGCTATATTTTGGAAATGGTCAAAATATAAAATTTTTTAGGTTTTTAACTGTTTCCTCCGTTGGCATATGGTTCGCTATAGTAACGCTCAAAGCTTGATTACTTTTGGTAAAAAAAAACCCTGGGTCATAGTTAGCTAGAATTTGCCATTTTTACATTTTTAACGCAGAGTGCGGTATTAATTTATATTTTAAAATTAGGTCATTGGAAAACGCAATATCTGGGCTTTGGTGGCAAACGAGCATCAAAATTCCCCAATGGCCGATCTTGATTGGGCGGAAATGGAAGGACTTTTTTGTCAACAAGTCCCTCCAATCTTGCCACCCACCACCTGTTCCTCTAATTTTGGTCCAGGATTAGATGCCGAAAGACGTCGTCGTGAACCTACTGAGGTAAATGTTGTGTTGTCTCAGAAACAGAAACACTAAACACACAAGTTCAATTATAATTATTCAAATGTCCGCATTGGTGATTATTCCTTTTTTTTATTTACAAACCTGAAGGCTGGAGGTGACTGTGCATTATTATCATTAATTAACACAATTCGTTAAAAAAAATTTATATCTATGTATTTTCTCTCCTTACAGATTGCACTTCTCGATGGAAAAAGAAGCTTAAATGTGAATATTTTCCTTAAGCAATTTAGAAGGTAAGTTTTCATATATTATGAAAAAGGAATATATTTAATTATAAATATTAATTTAATCACTCTTTTAATTAAAATTATCAATATTTTATTGTTTCCAATGATAAGTTCAAACGAGGATATAATCCAATTAATAAAGGACGGTGGTCACGATGATATTGGTGCGGAAAAACTTCGAGGACTATTAAAAATACTTCCCGAAGTCGATGAACTCGAAATGCTTAAGAGTTTTGACGGCGACAAGTCGAAACTCGGAAATGCTGAGAAATTCTTCCTACAACTCATTCAGGTGCCAAAGTAAGTTATCAATTAAAAATTTATTTCTACTTACTTGGTAGAAACAGCAAAGATGTCTCAAAATTGGTTTCATTTTTCGGAAATTATACCTACTTGATAGATTTCAATCAGTTAAAATTATCATGAACTGTCGTAAGACTTTTGCCTTCAAGGGCGGCGCTCCTTCTCTGTCGCAAATACGACTTTCTCCAATCCTTGCAGTCATCCTGCGTCAATAGTTAAAAGAGAATTTACAACAGAACAAATTAAAATTAAATACAAGTAAATAAAATCAATTAATATAAAAGATAAAAAAATGTCAATAGTAGAACTGTAAAAGGATAAATAAATAATACTAAATAGGTAAAAAAAAAGTAATTCTTTAGGTAGGTAGGTAAATCATTCTTGCCTTATGCTGTCTAATTTACTTTTAGTCATTATATGAGTCTTTTTTGCCTCCTCAAGGGCTGTTTGAAAAACTCTGCAAACTCCAGTACTGACAATATGGTTGGTATTTACCTTATCGATGCACTTTTCTTTACATAAGAAGCAGCTAGAAATCTTCTAACAGTCAGAGAAACTTATGACCGGTTTAACCTCTACCTATACGCTATCAGACTATCATAATTAGCACAAAGAGACGATTAAATTAAATTAGTATCAATTCTACTATTTCCTATGGACTGGTATCAACCTAGAATGTTGCTGGGTTTTGTTAAACAACATCCAGAAGGATAGAATATCGTATTGTAACTTTAAGTAGTAGCACCACCAACCGTACGCTATCAGACAATCCAAATTAACCCAAAATGTTTTCACAATCACTTAAGAGTCAATGGAATCAATATAATTTTAATGTTGTGCTTTGAATTCGAGGTCATAAACAATAAAAATTTCTTACGTTTAAATTTTGCTGTATTCAAATAAACTGTTATAGCTCGTATAGGTCAAAAATTGATTTAACCAATTCATGGTTGTCACACAACCAGGAAATCCTAGAAAAAGTATGGAAATTAGAAAAATGTATGGTTCTAGGAGTTGTTTAGAACCTGCAAAAAGTTTGTGCACTAAGAATTGATAGTAAACTGAAGATAAAAATTAATGAAAAATAATTTTTCATCTTCTGCTGATTATCGGCTGAGGTTACTTTTTATGAATTGTAAATTAAATTAAGTTTTACGACCCAGATACTAATTAGCATTGTTCTAGGAGTTGTTTAGGACCTGCAAAAGTCTGTGCACTAAGAATTGTTAGTAAACTGAAGATAAAGATCGCTCAAAAATAATTTTTCATCTTCTGCTGATTATCGGCTGTGGTTACTTTTTATGAATTGTGGATTAAATTAATTTTGACGACCCAGATATTAATTGGCATTGTTCTAGGAGTAGTTTAGGACCTGTAAAAAATTTGTTAACTAAGAATTGTTAGTAAACTAAAAAGAAAGATTGATGAAAAAAAATTTTTCATCTTCTGCTGATTATCGGCTGTGGTTACTTTTTATGAATTGTGAATTAAATTAAGTTTTACGACCTAGATACTAATTAGCATTGTTCTAGGAGTTGTTTAGGAACTGCAAGAGTTTGTGCAGTAAGAATTGTTAGTAAACTGAAGATAAAGATTGATAAAAAATAATTTTTCATCTTCTGCTGATTATCGGCTGTGGTTACTTTTTATGAATTGTGAATTAAATTAAGTTTTACGACCTAGATACTAATTAGCATTGTTCTAGGAGTTGTTTAGGAACTGCAAGAGTTTGTGCAGTAAGAATTGTTAGTAAACTGAAGATAAGGATTGATGAAAAATAATTTTTCATCTTCTGCTGATTATCGGCTGTGATTACTTTTTATGATTTGTGAATTAAATTAATTTTGATGACCCAGATATTAATTTGCATTGTTCTAGGAGTTGTTTAGGACCTGCAAAAAGTTTGTGCAGTAAGAATTGTTAGTAAACAGAACATAAAGATTGATGAAAAAATAATTTTTCATCTTCTGCTGATTATCGGCTGTGATTACTTTTTATGATTTGTGAATTAAATTAATTTTGATGACCCAGATATTAATTTGCATTGTTCTAGGAGTTGTTTAGGACCTGCAAAAAGTTTGTGCAGTAAGAATTGTTAGTAAACTGAAGATAAGGATTGATGAAAAATAATTTTTCATCTTCTGCTGATTATCGGCTGTGATTACTTTTTATGATTTGTGAATTAAATTAATTTTGATGACCCAGATATTAATTTGCATTGTTCTAGGAGTTGTTTAGGACCTGCAAAAAGTTTGTGCAGTAAGAATTGTTAGTAAACAGAACATAAAGATTGATGAAAAAATAATTTTTCATCTTCTGCTGATTATCGGCTGCGGTTACTTTTTATGAATTGTGGATTAAATTAATTTTGACGACCCAGATATTAATTGGCATTGTTCTAGGAGTAGTTTAGGACCTGTAAAAAATTTGTTAACTAAGAATTGTTAGTAAAGTAAAAAGAAAGATTGATGAAAAATATTTTTTCATCTTCTGCTGATTATCGGCTGTGGTTACTTTTTATGAATTGTGAATTAAATTAAGTTTTACGACCCAGATATTAATTGGCATTGTTCTAGGAGTAGTTTAGGACTTGTAAAAAATTTATAGACTAAGAATTGTGAATAAACAGAATATAAAATTCTCTCAAAAAATAATTTTTCTTCTTCTGGATGAAATTAGGAATTTTATATTTATTATTTTGTGGCAACCATGCAATGCTGAAATCTAATATTTCTTGAATTTCCAAAATAAAATTAAACATATTGATAAAGACACGTGGCCCATTGTTAGTAGGGGAGAGTGGGGCAAAATGGGGTAAGCGGGTCAAATGGGGTACCTCTGTTTTTCCATGATAGGTACTTTTAATTTTTTTATCCTCGACATATATCATTCATGTTGATAAGAAACTGTTATTAATTATGAAGACACTCCAAAGAAAATTTTTTTTTGAAAGTTATACAACTTTTAAGTTTTAAGCAAAAAAAATTTGAATTTTTTTCAAAATTAAAGTACCAAACTTTTTGGGATAATGCATTTAGTTTGGCAAGTGTGGGATCTTTTTCAGTACTTATTCTAGAGTAATTTCCAAAAGAATAGATTGTTTAACTGTTTACAATAACTTGTAAACATTGCATTTTGTTTTAATATGCAGTGTGGGGCAGAATGGGGTACCTAAGTGTGGGGCATGCCGGAAGCTACGCCGCTTCATTAAAACTATTTAAAAACATTATATTATGCATATTTAAAGGTTTCCTGCAGAAGAATCAATATTTTTGTTTGGAAATTTATACCATCGATGTTTCATTATCGATATATCGATATTTCGCAATATAGATGTTTTTTTGTTAAATTCCAATAAATATTACTTGTTTTTTCATAGTAATAAAGAATCCTACTTTTTGTTTGTATTTATAATCTCATACAACAAGAATTTAATGAATTTTGAAAAAATATTCCATGTTTTGTATAGTTATTTGATGACACCCCATTTTGCCCCACGGGTGGGGCAAAATGGGATTTTAGCACTTTTTCAGAAAATACGATATAAGTTCTTTCAAAAATTTTTTTCTCCGCTATTATCATAATTTCCTCAAAGCTAAGTGTACAAAGAAGAATTCTGAAGTTTAGCTGAATCGATTTATTCGTTTGGTTCTCTGTAAACAGCCAATTTCAAAAAGGTACCCCATTTTGCCCCACTCTCCCCTACCCTTAGTTGTTTCGAAAATCGGTTACATTACATATGTTTAGTATTTTTTTGTATAAATAATCATATATATTTAAAAATGTCCTCTTTTTATTTGCCAGCTATAAATTACGAATCGAGTGTATGCTACTCAAAGAGGAATTTGCTGCAAATATGGGATACTTGGAGCCCAGCATCAATTCGATGATTCTCGCTGGCGAGGATCTTATGACAAATAAACCACTACAAGAGGTTCTCTACATGGTTTTGGTGGCTGGAAATTTCTTGAATTCGGTAATAAAATAAAAAAGTTAGCAATTGCAAAAAAAAAATAAACAGTGAAATTAATTTAAATTTCTTTTAGGGAGGATATGCAGGAAATGCAGCTGGAGTGAAATTATCATCACTGCAAAAATTAACGGAAATCCGGGCCAATAAACCTGGAATGAATCTCATTCATTATGTCGCTCTGGTAAAATAAAAATAATTTATTAGATAATATAAATGATGTAAAATTAAATTTTGAAAGAAAGATAAAAGTATGATTTATATTGCGAAAAATAAGTTATGTATTAACTTTTTAGCAAGCTGAGAGGAAACGAAAGGACTTGCTCAGCTTTGCCCGAGGAATGACGACTTTAGATTCGGCAACAAAGTAAATTTCTTTTATTATTAAAAATATATTTACACTATGTTTTAAAATAATTCCTGTTTTTCTAATGTTACATGATTTACTGAAACTAATTTTAATATTTTAATTGTTTTTTAATACAACATTTTTAGAACAACAGTCGAACAACTCAACAATGAATTCAATTGTCTTGATACAAAAATCAAGAAAATAAAAAGCCAAATACAATTGTCTTCAACGGAAGCTGATATTCAGGAACAAATGGCTCAATTTTTACAGGTAATTTGTTAATCAATTTTATGTCAGTGAATAATTGTTACCAAATTTTATAATTTAATTAATGTATTATAATGTTCAGCAAAACATAAATATATATCCTTATTTCACTTCCTGTTGTTTGCTTCGTGTTCTCAGATGGCAGAACAAGAGATGGATCAATTAAAGAGAGACATGGAAGAATTGGAGGGAGTAAGAAAATCACTAGCCGAATTCTTTTGCGAGGATTCAAATACATTTAAAATTGAAGAATGCTTCAGGGTTTTCCATCATTTTTGTCAAAAGTTTAATCAAGCCATTGCGGAAAATGAGCGGCGAAAAATCCAAGAGGAACAAGTACAGGCCAGAAGAAAGCAGAGAGAAGAACAATTACTGGCTAAAAAGAGACTTCGTAAGTTGGATAAAGAAATTATTTTCACCATCTACTCATCTCTAAGAGAATTGAAGAATCATTATATTTAATTCACGAATCATTACCAATAATTACATTTCAAACTATCTTTCTGTTTTTAGAAAATAATTATTTGTTCATTTCTAGTTTACAATCAAGTAGAGACTCCAGGATCAGAATCAGAATACAATCTAATAGATTATGGAATTTTTGATATTGCGATGCCACAAAAATATAGTCGCAGTGATCCTAAGGTACGTTCTAAGGTTCTATTTGTCTATTTTTAGAAATTGGACACTTTAAAATTAACGATTTTTAATGCTTTAGATCAAAAGACTGCAAAATGGAATTGTGACGTCAGATGAGGATATTTCTACTACCGGATCGCCCAACATTAGAAGAAGATTGGGTTCTTGTTCCGGTGGTCCAGAACAGCTATCTACCAAAGAAGACATCTACTCCCCTGGTAAGAAAAACGATTCAATCAATCCATAAATTTTTTAAATAGTCCTAATACTATTGTAATACAAACTCAAGATGTGAACCCGCAATAATAATAATAAATAAATTTGTTAGCAAGAATTCTAAAAACAAATTTTTTTCGATGCATCTATTAATTTTAGATATCACACCAAATGGAACACTTCGCCGAAGAAGAAGTCGTATTCCCTGTGAAGATGACGAAGGTAACCTCATGGACTTTTTGAGAACAACTGGTCAAGATAATAACAGGGAAAGAAAATCTTGGGGTAGTTTGGGTAAATAATTTTTCTCTTTATCAAATTATATTTACGTGCATCTTTTACAAATGTAAATATTTTTCGTCATTATTTCTCAAATTTATCATTAAAATTTTTTAGATCGTTCTTGGGCTAAGAGGGCAAGGGGTCAACCACGAAGAGGTGATCTGTTGAACGCAGATTTTTCAGGCGACAGAGAGAGACCAAATTCACCATCCCCTCTGGTTGAAACGAAACCATTTTTACAAGAAGAAGAAGCAAAACCAACTGGGTATGTATTAGAAAATCCACTCTGAAGCAAATCTATTGTAATTATTTTTGTAAACCCTCGTTTTTCAATTTAAAAAATTATTAAATTACAGTAAAGCATGGAGGCAAAAAATTGAGGCTTGGCTTTCGGAAAATGAAAAAGAAGAACGAGCCGGCGAAGAGTTGCAACGAAAAGCTAAACAATTGCAGGCCAATCGCAGATCGTTCGAAGATTCAGGTATACATTTGAAAGTTTCTTAATCTCAAAACCAAAACCATCTCATGTGACGAGTATCTAAAAATTAATCTGTTCCAAAAAATAGTACTTCAAAAGAATTTATTGAAGAGTTTATTGAAATACTATTTTATTGCTTTTACTTTTTTTTAAACAGAAAATTTTCTAAATTCTTTTAGAGAGCGAAGGCAAAAATTCATTAGCAAACATTCCAAATGAGGAGAATTTGCATGAAAGATACAGTAAAACTGATGTTTATGATTGGCGTCCATCTGTGGAGAAGACGGATGTCATGCGAACCATGGAAGCAATAGAGGGTAAGAAGAAAATATATAATAAATTTTGTAACTGAAAAATAATTGAGAAATATAGTTGATAGATGACAGAAATTTAATATTAAAAAACACTTATTTTTAATAAGAACATAAATTATATTTCTTATTTAATAAAAAAAATTTATTTTCAGAAGCTCAACCACTCTCGTCACAAAAGGACAAATCGGCTTGGCGGAAATCAAGTCTTAACGTCCCTAACAGTATGGAAGAAACTGATCCTCGTTACACTCGAAGGATTCGCTCCCGATTGAGCACGGAAAATATGTTGGGCTCAAGTACTTTACAGGTAATTTTAATTTAAAAACTTTGAAAATAGAAAGATCTTCATAAATAGAGAATATTATTTTTTAATTTAAGTTAAAATTATTAATAATTATAAATTAATTATAAATTTAAATTAAATTCATTTCATTGAAAAGTCAGATAGTAAAGCTTCGTAGGAATTTTTTTCATTATTTCTGCATATTTTAGAAAACATAAAATTAAACTTAAAATAAAAATACAATTTTATACTGTGTTTAAACATTAAACTTAAAAATTGTTTTAAAAGAAATGTTTATTTATACTTCCACTTTCACTTATATTTTATTTTCACACCGCTTTCCCTTAAAATTTAAATGGAAAAAGATAAAAGTATGAGTGAAAGTGAAAAGTAAGTGAAAGTGGAGTGAAAATAAATTTTGAGTGAAAATGGAGTGAAGTGAAGTGGAAGGAAAATAAAATTGGAGTGAAAGTGGAGTGAAAATAAATTTTGAGTGAAAGTGAAGTGAAATAGACGTGGAAAAAAATAAGATTAGAGTGAAAGTAAAGTGAAAATAAAATTTGAACGAAAGTGAAGTGAAAATAAATTTTGAGTGACTGTGAAAGTGAAGTAAAAATAAATTTTGAGTGAAAGTGAAGAAAAAATAAAATTTAAATGAAACTGATGTGAAAGTGAAAGTGGAGTAAAAATGAAACGTAAGTGAAAGTGAAAGTGAAGTAAAAATAAATTTTAAGTGAAAGTGAAAGTACAGTAAAGAGAAAATGTTAGTAAAATAAAATTTGTGTGAAAGTAAAGTGAAAATTAAATGTGAGTGAAAGTGGAGTGAGAATGAATTTTGAGTGAAAAAGGAGTGAAAATAAAATTTGAATGAAACTGAAACTGATGTGAAAGTGGAGTGAAAATAAAATTTTAGCGAAAGTGAAAGTGGAGTAAAAATGGATGTTGAGTGAAAGTGAAGTAAAAATAAAATTTGTGCAAAAGTGAAAGTGTATTAAAAATAAATTTTAAGTGGAAGTGAAAGTGAAAATGGAAATAGAGTGAAAATTAAATGTGAGTGAAAGTGAAGGTGGAGTGAAAATAAAATTTGAGCGAAACTGAAAGTGGAGTGAGAATGAATTTTGAGTGAAAGTGAAGCAAAAATAAAATTTGAGCAAAAGTGAAAGTGTATTGAGAATATATTTTGAGTGGAAGTGAAAGTGGAGTGAAGAGGAAATGGAAGGAAAATAAAATTTGAGTGAAAGTTGAGGGAAAATTAAATGTGAGTGAAAGTGGAGTGAAAATAAAATTTGAATGAAAGTAGAGTGAAAATAAATTTTGAGTGAAAGTGAAAGTGGAATAAAAATAAAATTTGAATGATAGTGGAGTGAAAATATAATTTGGGGGAATGTGAAAGTGGAGTGAAATTAAAATTTGAGCGAAAATGAAAGAGGAGTGAAAATAAAATTTGAGTGAAAGTGAAACTGATGTGAAAGTGAAGTGAAAATAAAATTTGAGTGAAAATGAAACTGATGTGAAAGTGAAGTGAAAATAAAATTTGAGCGAAAGGGATGTGAAAATGAAGTGAAAATGAATTTTGAGTGAAAGTAGAGTGAAAATAAAAATTGATCGAAAGTGAAAGTGCATTGAAAATAAATTTTGAGTGAAAGTGGAGTGAAAATAAAATTTGAGCGAAAGTGAAAGTGTATTGAAAATAAATTTTAAGTGAAAGTGAAAGTGGAGTGAAGAAAAATGGAGTAAATATAAATTTTGAGTGAAAGTGGAGTGAAAATAAAATTTGAGTGAATGTGAAAGTATAGTGAAAATAAAATTCTAGCGAAAGTGAAAGTAGAGTGAGAATAAATTTTGAGTCAAAGTGAATGTGAAGTGAAGTGAAGTGGAAGTGTAAGGATAATAAAATTTGAGTGAAAGTGGAGTGAAAATAAATTTTGAGTGAATGTAAATCAAGATTTACATAAAAATTCTTTTTATTTAATTTTGCATTTTGTATTTTTCAAATGTTCTTCTCTAAAATTCTTAATTTTTAATAGGTCCTAAAATAAAGTTTCTTAACTAGTCAGCGAAATTTTCTTATACGAATTAATTATTAATACTTTTGGAGTAAAAGTTTTTCATTATTTATATTCAAATCAAGTTTTTAGAATGTTGCCTTTTTTGGTTATAAGTTTAAATTTATTTATTTTCACTTCATTAAAAAATTTGTCGTAATTTTCTTAGGTATCATATATATAAATTTACAATTCAAATGTAAATAAATAACATTTTCTTTTTTTAATAGGCCATCAGAGAGGAGGAACGTAAAAAGAACAGCAAAATCCCCGAGATAATTAACACCGAACCACAAGATGAATTAACAATTTATCTACGACAGCCAGTGTCAGTTTCTCAAGGACCAGCGAAACGAAGATTATCCCAAATTGGTAAAAAGAATCACGACGAGGACACGATAAGCGATAAAATCGAAATCGACTCGGACAATATCGAAACACCACCAGCAACGAGAAGAGTCTTCAGTCCACCAAAAGAAGTCAAACCAGTTGAAAAGGAGCCGTGCAAACGAGAAAGATGCAGCAATTCAATCCAAGGACGTGAGGCTGTGAAGCCAGGCAATTCATACGGGGACCTTGGCTCTGGTAACTTTGACAGATTTTCAGCTGCCAGACGAACGAGACGCTATAAGAAAAATCAGGATCCCGACAAACTCGATGTCAATAATTTAAAACTCGATACCTCACCATTAAAATTAGACACTAGTCATGATAATGCCATAATAATGAAAATCAATAATAACAATAATAATAATATTAATAATTCATCACCAAATTTGGATAATTGCAATAAATTTCCAACAGTGAAGACGGAGAATTTCGCTAATGTTGATTTGAAAATTGAGGAACCTGTGAAAAATGAAATGCCATTGAAGATTGATAGCCCCCTAAAGAGGGAGGAACCAATGAAAATTGAAACACCATTAAAATTAGGTCTATTGAAACAAGATGAAAGTAAATTGGAAAATTCTGATGAGGTACCAAGAAGACCAAATAGTTTATTAATAAAGAAAGATGGTGATGCTGATGCGATGCTTCAAGTTTGGCAGGAGAAATTAAAACGTCGTGACGTCACTCATGATATTGATGTGGCTTTAGCGGAAATTGCTAAAGCTGAGGAGGATTTACAACAATTGTCAAAGTCAGCGGCACAAAGGAGTTCACGACTTCCGGTTACACAATTGGCGCCGGTGATTGCCGTGACAAATACTGTTTTAAGTCCGGTTATGCAGGAATCGAAACTCCGCGATGCGCCTCTTCTTCTCACTGAGAGGGCAATTCAAAGTCGAGAACGTCGACGAACTATGATTGATCCCAGTCAGGTAATTTAGATATACATATTTTTACTTTTACCCATTAACAAAAATCACCTTAAAATCGGTTTTCGGGGTCGTTAATTACGAATTTGATGTTAGTTTCCAAAAATTTAAAATGGCTGACGATTTTTTAGAAAATTGGGAAATTAACTCGATACTCGTTACTCAAGGCTTTCCGAGGCCGCTGATTACGAATCTGAGATCAGATTAGAAGGATTTTTAATAGTTGCGAAATGGGAAGAGAGATGAGTGTTTGGATAATTAGATAACGAATATAAATTAATTAACTCATTTGTTTTTTAATTGTTTCGCAGGTAAAAGAGGCGAGGAGAGTAATGAGTGATTCAACGAATCAAGGAATTCCAGAAGTAATTGGAAATTACATATCCGATCATTTGGACCGTACAGATTCATCATTATTGCGAGACGAATCATCGAGACATTTCCTCGACAAGACTTCAAATTTGGACACCGAATCTGGAAGTCCATTTACACCAGACAAGAATCGAACATCAAAACAAAATTCCATGTTCAAGAGTCGATTTATTCCAGATTTAAGTGTCACCTCAATGCCAGTAAATAAATCCAGGGACCAAGAAATGAACGACGAGGGCTTCGAGGAAACTCAAAGTTTAGTCTCCGAAACACTCAGTCAGGAAACATCGTCGGGAAATTATGAAACGGACACTCATGATTCTACCAGGTGTTCACCGGCTGATCTTGGATGCAGTAAGTTCAAAATTATTGTTTTTGGGACGATCCATTCTCCTTAAAGTAATTCGTTCTAATATGTCTAAATCCCAGGCATTGATGACATCGGATGACCGGAGTCATCCGGCATCATCGCTTTTCTTAATTGAGCAACACATAAAACCAATTTTTACGTTTCCAAATTTTCCTAAACTGTCCGCGTCTTCTGGGTGGGTGACTACAACCGCGAGCTTCATCCCTTTGCGGTTGGGCCCTAAGACCATCAGCTTCATGACTTTTGCGAACGCTTTCGTCAACACCTATTGGACCTCTGCTTCTTGAGTGAGGCAATCCGGATCGCGGATTTCGATGGTAACTCTTCGATCTATCGACTGCACCTTACCCAGGCTTTCAACTGCTTTGGTAACCTCAGTGGTGAAATCCTCTGATTTCAATTAGAAGGTCCCCCTTCTTTGTAGCTCTCGTATGACTGACGCCTGGGTTTGACGTCCCTACGGAGTCACCCAGAACTGACGTTCAGGGTAACTTCGCAAGGAGGTCAACCCAGGCGAATACATTAATCCTTGACCGACTTGGATCAGCATAGTGGTTCCCTTCGTCTCGCAAATATTTCCGATCGAGGATTCTCTGGCTTGGATACTACCGACGCTTTTATGCGTTGTCACTCGAACCATAACCAGTAAGAGGACAAAGCTCCCCTGCTTCTTCCTATTACCGGCTATGGTTCGAGTCTCCTCTGGACTGTCACCCTCCCTCTTCCGTTTCTGGACATCCCTGAAAACACTGACTTCACTATTTAATTATTCTCTAAAGACGCTTTTCAGTTTGCGTTTATAGTGGCGCTTCCTCTTCCTTTTCCAGTCCTTGTCGTCAATCTCTGCACCGCTGAGAACGCATGCTAAATCGTAGTCCGACTCATCAGCCGCGACATCCTTCTCCTTCGTTTCACTCAGCAGGACTTGGATGATTTTGAGGCCATCCGTAACTTCTGTTGACATTCTTTTGAATGTCGCAAGACTTCATCATCCTTGCGACCTCTAACTTCATTTTGTCAAGGCCTCCTTCTTAGAAAGGAAAAAGCGTCCTCCTTTCTAAACCGCAAGGATATCTCACGAGTCTCATTTATCGCCTCATCGTCTACCTCCGACTGGATAGTGCTGTGTGCGGTCTTTCCGCTACTTAGAATCAATGGAGTTAATTAATTATTAATTTAATTAATTAATTAATTTGAATCAGTGGAATTCACTGGGTTTCAGTTATAATTAAACCATGTCATTGATGATATTTATAACTGGATCCCAGAGAATTCCACTGATTCAAATTAGGAGAGCACACTCAGAAGGGTCGACGCACTTCCTCTCATTCCTCGATGTTCTGTGGATCTAATCTCCCCACGATTATCCGTGCACACTTGATCAGTAGAACTGAAGGTGAGATTTTCAGTTTCCAGTCTGCTCACATGGGGTACCATCTCTGAATTTGTAGAATTCATTCTTTCTTGCTGTTTGGTTGTCCATTACTGAAAAACCCCGCCACCACGACAAAGATTACCGAACATTATCATAATGCACATTGTGGCAAACTTCGCGAGACTTTAATATTTTTGAAAATTAAATGAATGAGGATAAGGATGCGGCTCACGATAGTCGACACAAGAGTTAATGAACGAAATATTCACGCGTAAAAATATGATTTTACCTACAGTTTAATGAAATGAGCAGTTGCAATAGATAAAGGATTAACTCTCTGCTGATGCTAACGACCGTTATCGTCAAAAATCGTCATTCTGGACTATGGGACTATGGGAGTTACGTTCTTTGGCAATAGAGTAGGGATAAGTTAGCATCAGCCGATGGTAAGGAAGGTTCAATGTTCTAAGAACGTTTTTAGAACATAAAACGGATTTAGAACGTTATATGGAGGACATGATACGTTGTAGCAAAGTTTTAGGAACGTTTCTAGAACAAAGAAGTTTCGTGCCCAGAGGGTATAAGAAGTTCTTAGCGGTTTGAGGAACAAATAACACAATTACGAAATTAATTAAAAAGTAAATTTTCACGTAATCGTGATCATACGACCATTCGTCTTTGGTCCGATGCCAACCGAATTTATAATTCTTTTAACGACCGATGATCGCGGTAGCTATTAGGCTAACACCTAGCGCGATAAATTATGAATTAGGGAAACAATCAGAAAATGGCATATTTAAAGAAAAGTAAGAAAACAATATGGTTCGTTACTTGATCTCCCATCATTTTAATTATAATTTAGTGAAATAAATCCAATCCATTAAACCCCGAACCTACTAAATTTTTGAGAACATAATTGAAATCATCAATAACATACAATTCAAAATAGTATTAAGTTAACAATTAATTTCTTCAACAGCTACCAATGGACAAAGGAGAATTAGAGAAATTCCCACACCAGATTCGAATTTAACAAGAATAAAGCCATTTGATCGAAGAAATTCCTCGATGAGATTAAAGAGCGACACGTCGAGTTTTCTTCCAAAGAGAACTGGAAGTTTAAAGAGAGATTCACCACGAAAAGTGGAGCCAATTAAACGATCTGATGTGCTTACATCGAGAAATCCACCTAGGGATGAAGTGGAAAGATCCGGTTCACGTAGTAGTCTACGAAGTTCAAGGAGTTCTCTCAATAGTGCGACGTCCGTTAATACCGTACGGAATCTTGGATCGAATCATCCTCATCTAAACAGGTTAGTAAATTCTTTTCTATTTTGCCTTTCCCCCTTAAACTTTGGATCGAGATTTTAATTTTGGATTTATTTTTATTTTTTTAAATTGGAATGCCAAAATATGTGTTGTGAATAATTTTACAAAAAAATGCTTTGAGGATGAGAAGATGAAATAAATGTTATTGTAGGTATACTTCGGCTATTCGAGCCTTGACGACTGATCTTCGAAAGGGAAATTCTCAGGCAAATACGAATTCGAAGGAAGCGGAAAAGAGGAGAATTGCTCCGAGAACTGGAGTCAGTAGAATTCCAGCGAGCAGGAGTTCGAGCAGTGGCAGCAGTGTTGGTCCAGCTTTGAGAAATATCAGAAAATCTGTTGGCGTAAGACAAATATTTAACTATAGATAAAGATTTTTTTTAACCCCTATACAGTCACGTATTTTTCTTTACACTGAATTCGATTGAAAATAATTACTCGGGAGTTTTTGGGGCCGCTGAATACGAATCTTGAGTCAGTTTTTAAAAATTCAAAATGGCGGATCCAATATGGCGGATGTGGAAATTAAAAATCGACTAAATCCGATTGAAACTAGTTACTTGGGGGTTTTTATGGTCGCTGAATACGAATTTGGGGTCAGTTTTTAAAAATTCAAAATGGCGGATCCAATATGGTGGACGAAATTGAAAAATTGTTCAGATTCGCTTGAATCTTGTTACTCGGGGGTTTTTGGGGTCGCTGCATAAGAATTTAGGGTCAGTTTTTAAAAATTCAAAATGGCGGATTCAATATGTCGACATAGAAATTTAAAATCGACTAAATCCGCTTGAAACTAGTTACTCGGGGGTTTTTTGGGTCGCTGAATAAGAATTTAGGGTCAGTTTTTAAAAATTCAAAATGGCGGATCCAATATGGCGGACATGGAAATTAAAAATTAACTGAATTCGATTGAAACTAGTTACTCGGGGGTTTTTGGGGTCGCTGAATAAGAATTTAGGGTCAGTTTTTAAAAAAATTCAATATGGCCACCTTATTTTTAATGTCTTTAATTCTATATATCTTTTTGTTCAATCACATGCAATTTTTTTAAATTTTAAACAGACACTTTCTGAGTTACCAAGAGGATCGTCCACAAATTTACGAAGTAGAGCTGTCGTCTCGTCGCGAAGTAGCAGCAGTGGAAGTAGCGTTGGTCCACAGACAGCGAGCCGGCAAAATATTGATAAATTGGGAGGAAGTAAAACTCGTTTGGTCCAGCCAAGACCCAGTCCCAGAAATCACAGTTTCATGAGACCAACTACAGCCAGTGTCAATAAGGGTTCAATCCCTAATCTTCCCAAAAGCATAAAAACCCTCGTCAAATAAAAGAAGAGGGCATTTTTTATACTCTCTTTCTCTCTAAAACCCAAATTTTCCATTATTACCGAAAGTAGTTTAAAATAAATAAGTCAAAATAAACAAAAAAAAAATATCGATGTTCGCGAAACAAAAATGAAAAAAATTTATATATAGATATAAAATAAACCCTTTATACTTGTAACAAATACTGATCAATTTGTTAAACTAATTTCAATAAAAATAAAGATATACTAAACTTGTTCTTTTTATTTTTAACAAAAAAATTCTTACTTACTATTTTCCTAAGAAAAGAAAAAAATTTTCCTACAACTGGAAATGAAAATAAAAAAAACACAATGATTAATTTTTTCAATCTTGCAAATTTAATGGTACTTTTTACAATTTCATATTACAATTTACAAAATAATGTACACAATCTTACGGAATTAAGGGCACTTTTTAAATTCAGGTACGTCTAAGAATTGCGATTGTAATTTTTTTTCGCCCTTTTTTTTCATACAAAAAAAATAACAACAATTCGACAATTAATAGAAAAAAAAAACAAAAAAAAAATCATAAGGAAATAATTTCGTTAAATTTTTTTTTCACATTTGACAATCGCAATTCCATGATAAAAAAAATTATTTTATCAGTAAATACTCCAAGCGTAAACGACAATATTCCATAATTAATATATTATATATTCCAAAACACATATTTCTTTCTTTTAACGTTCATGAAAAAATGACAAATTTTCGAAAAAAAGGAAACAAAATGAAAAATTCTAATTAGTCATTTTCTTTTTAAAATTTGTCATTTTGTATACACAAAAAAAAATTAACTTACAAAACTAGAAGTGAAGTCTTATTCATTAGACACTGAAGTTTTATTTTTGGAATTTCAAACAAAAATTTCTTTTTTACAAACGATTCTTTAGAAATTAAAATATTATTTTGAATTTAAAACTATTTTATTACTAATTTATTTTTGATTTAAAAATATTTATTTAATTATAAAATTTTTAATATATTTTTTAGTTTTTAATCAATAATTAAGAATAATCAATGAATTTATTTATAATTAAAAAAAAAATTTTAACATTCACTAACTTCAGTGTCCAAGTGTCTAAAAATCGAAATAAAACAATTATGTATATAAACATCCACCATAAAAACCGCAAATAAAAATATAAAATAAAAAACAATTTTTCCTTTTATATTTCAAAAGAAAAATAATTTTTCACAAAGTACAATATTTCTTTTTCAATTTTTTTTTCCAAACAAAGTTTTTTAAAATAAAAATTTTTCTTTTATAACAATTTTGTAAATAAATAATTAAAATTTATTATTTTATTTGCGATTTCTTTTTTCATTCTGTATATATATATATACTTTTTTCAACTTAAAAATTAAAGAACTGAGCAAAATTTGTATCTACACACTATTTCGAGATGAAATATTTATAAATAACACGCAACAAGATTATGAAATAACAAAAATTAATACCTTCGACGGACGAACAAATTTTTCATTGAACGAATTAAAACGCAACATTTATGGCGCGCTCGTATTATTTATATATAGATATAATAATTAAAAATAATAACTTTTGTAAAATAAATATATTTTTATATATATATGATAAATTCATTTATCAATATCAAAATTTAGGAATGTTTTTAGTAATAAAAATTTTTTTTAATATAACGCGCCTTTAAATCATCTTTTGATTTTAATTATATCTATTAATCGTCAATTAAATTTAATATTTCAATAAATTGAATTGAATTTTGAATTACATTAAATAAATTTACTTTAATTAATTTATTTAATGTATTTTTTCCTTAATAATTTTCTAATTAATTTATTAAATTATTAATGCAAATAATTTAATAATTTTATTAGAAATTTAATTAATAAAAATTTATGAAAATTTAATTAGTTAGTTTAAATAATAATTTTAGTTAATCTATTTAGTTTATTTTCATTTACTTAATTTATTTAGTTCATTTTTATTTAATTAATTAATTAAATATTATTGTATTATTGAATTTAAACAAATTTACAAAGTTATTCATTGTTCAATTCAATAAAATTCAATGTAAAAACTATTTAATTAAATTAAATAAATTATCTCATTTCATTTTTAAAAGGAAAATAAATTTTACAGATTTTAAAATAAATATTATTCACTAACTAATTAGCTACTAATAATTCATTAATTAATAAATTAAATTAAATTAAATTCATTAATTAATAAATTAAATTAAATTAAATTCATTAATTAATTAATTAACATTAATTAACCAGTTCATCATTAACCAGTGACAAATTAATGAATATTTACTAATTTTTTGCTAATTAACAAAATAGTTACTAATAATTTGCTAATTTACAAAACAGTTATTAATTTTTTGCTAAATAACAAAACAGTTATTAATTAGTTGCTAAATAACAAAACAGTTACTAATTAATTTTTAAATAACAAACAGTTACTAATTTGTTTCTAAATAACAAAAAGTTACTAATTAGTTTCTTAATAACAAATCAGTTACTAAAAAAACATTGCTAATTAACAAAATTGTTGCTAATTAATTAGTAATTAACAAAATAGTTGCTAATTAATTAATAATTAACAAAATAGTTGTTAATTAATTAGTAATTAACAAAATAGATGCTAATTAATTAGTAATTAACAAAATAGATGCTAATTAATTAGTAATTAACAAAATAGATGCTAATTAATTAGTAATTAACAAAATAGATGCTAATTAATTAGTAATTAACAAAATAGTTGTTAATTAATTAGTAATTAACAAAACAGTTGCTAAATAATTAGTAATTAACTAAATAGTTGTTAATTACATAGTAGTTGCTAATTAATTATTAATTAACAAAATAGTTATTTATTAGTTACTAACATAAATTAGCATTAATTATTGTTTCTTTCATTAGTATCTAATTAAAGTAAACATTAACTTACTTGGAATGTTATTTGAATTTAATTAACTAGTATTAATTACTAATCAATAAATAATTAATTAAATATTTAATAATATATTACCAATTAATTTGATAGTTAAGAATTAGTTAATAATTAACAAATATTTACTAACTAATTTCTAAGTATTTAAATATTTTCTAAGTAGTTACTTATTATTTATTTAGTAACCATTTAGTAAATTGTTAATTACTTAGTTAATATTAATTAGTAATTAACGAAATATTTAATAATTAGTTACTAACATCAATTAGTTATAACTAATGCTGACTAACTAATAACATACTAAATTACCAATTAATTAAGTAAATAATAATTCAAAATAAATAGTTAACTAATTATAACTCATTAGTTAAATAGTTACTAATTATATACTAATTAAGGAAATAGTAAATAATTTGTTACTAATGCATTATATTCATATTAATTGGTTGATAATTAATAAAATAATTATTAATTAATAAAATGATTACTAATTAATAAAGTAATTACTAATTAATAAAATAATTACTAAATAATAAAATAATTACTAAATAATAAAATAATTACTATTTAATAAAATAATTACTAATTAATAAAAGAATTACTAATTAATTACTAATTCATTAAATACTTAGTAATTAGTTGCAAATGTATTAAATACTTACTAATTAGTTACTAATTAAAAATAAAGTTACTAATTTGTTTATAAAAATTCAAATTTTGCTAATGAGTAATTAATTAATTGTTTAGTAATTAATAATTTTGTCTTTATTCAGCTACTAATTAATTATTCATTTACTAATTAATTATTTATTTACTATTTAATATTTTGTTGTTTTTTAGTTAATTTATTATTAATTAGTAATCAAACAATTGTTACGCAACTAATCAATTTTCTATGAATATTTTTTCAATTTATTAAATTTAATCAACGATTAATTTTTTTAAACTCCTAAACTTAACAATTAATTGATTAATTAATTGCACTTTTGACGACTTTAAATTTTTTGCATTTTCTTCGTTTTTCGAATAATAATTTTTCTCTCTCTCTCTCTCTCTCTCTCTCTTTCTGTCTTTCGTACTTCTTCTTTTAAAAAGAAATTCCTCTTCTGCTTAATTGTTTTTAAATTTGATTAAAAACAATTTTTTTTCCCTTAAAAAGTATTTTTTCATAAAAATTTCTTCTTTTATTGATTTCTACAAATGTGTATAATTTTTTTTAAACGATTTCTTTCTTTTAAAGATGTCTATTTTTAAAAGAATTATTATTTTTTTGTGGTTAAAAAAATCATTTTTAAGGAGACGTTAAAAATTCTGTCTTTCTGTGGGTGGATTTTTGAATTTTGTTTTTAAAAAATATTATTTTAATAGAAGATTTCTTTCTTTTCTCGGGAAAATATTTTTCTATTGCGGATAAGAAATTCTTGTCTAATACGAGTTGAAATCTTGTCGTTTTAAAATTCTTTATAAAAGAATTTCTTTTTTTTTTTTTTATTAAATAATATTTTTCGATTTTCATCATTTTTTTTTTCTTGAGGATTTCTTTTCTTTTTGGAGAAAAAAAAAGAAGAAGAATATCTCCCTCTTATTTTTATTATTTACGCCTTCTGCGTTTTTTTCTTGATAATTTTTTTTTATCATTATTTTTCTTTCTTGTTATTGTTGTTGATAAAATTTCACGTTAAGTCGATTCGATCCCGAAAGTGGAGAGACACTGGACCCTTTGGCGCCAGGATAAATTCAAATTGCAGACCCAACTCATCTTCTGCGACGATCTTGAAATCTCGTACAATCTGTGGGATCGTAAAAGTCAATATCAAAAATGCAGACAGATCGTAAAATTTTTTAGTAACAAAAAGAGAAAAAAGCAAAAAATTATTTTACAAAAGAACAGAGAGAAAAAATTATATCTCAATTTTTTTAATTTTGAAGGTAAACTATAATTTTTTTTTATTATTGATAATTAAAAATATTGTATATTAGAAGTTTTCTTCACAATTCAATTTTCAAAAAAATAAGTAGATTTAATTGCCAAAAAAAGAAAAATTTTAAATTATCAAAATGTATAAAGTTTTTGAAGTTAATAGAATATTTTTGTTTGTCGTAAAAATTTGAATTTAGAGAAAAATTATTGTATTTGATTTTTTATTTTACCTTTGCAAGAATAAGTTGAAGGGCTTGTTCAACGAATCGTTTGCCTGGACAAATTCGACGCCCGGCTCCAAAAGGTGTGACAAGAAGTGGCGAATGTGGAGTTGGTGGGTTTATCCACCTTTCTGGAATGCACTTATTCGCCTCTTTAAAGTTACTGTCATTTAAACCCGCAATCCATGTGTGCAAAACCACCACTGTCTAAAATTAAAATAAAAAATAAAATACAAAAATCAGACAACTAAATAATAATTTAATTAAATTATGATTTATATTATTATTTATTTTATTAAATAATATATATGATTTATTTATTATCACAAAGAACAACGTTCGAGCATAATATTCAATTCAATTACAAAAACCAAAAAAAATTTTTTTGGTCCTTACCCCTACTTTTTTCAGAATATTGACGTGATAGGCGATTTTAAGAAGCGGGATCGTGTTCAGAGGATAAAAATACATTGGAAACCACAACCATACCAAAAATACCAGTAAAAAATTTTTATTTTTGTCTTTACCCTCACTTTTTTCAAAATACTGACGTGATAGGCAATTTTAAGAAGCGGGATCGTGTTCAGAGGATAAAAATATATAGAAAACGATTCCCATATCGAAAATAAGGAAAAACAATTTTTTTTGTATTTACCCCCACCAAATTCAAAATTCTTCATTTTTTGGTCTTGCGCTAAAGGGCCTTGAAGTGAACGTTTCAAGAGTTTAATTTAAGACCTCTTGCAAGTCTTTAGCACCTCAGGTTAAAGAAGAAAATTGACTTAAAAATCTCAAAAAAGTCAAAACACGTCTTTTTGGGTCATTACCCCCACTTTTTTCAAAATCCTCACGTGTTAGGTAATTTTAAGCCACAAGATCGTGTTCAGAAATACAAAAATTCATTGTAAACCACTCCAATGTCAAAAATAACCAAAACAATTATTTTTTTAGTATTTACCCCCACTTTTTTCAAAAATCCTCTATTTTTTACTCTTGTGTGCGTATAGATCCAATTATTTTTTTAGTAAACACTAATTTAATATTCTAATAAACAATCATACAAACTGAATGGAAAAAAATTATTTAAATAAAATATTAAAATAACAGAAAAAAATTGTTCTTTTCTGTTAATTTTTAAAAAACTAAATAATAAATTGTTTTCAATTTGGGTAAATAATATTTTCTCATGAGAGGATGAGAATGTAAAAAACAGAAATTAAATAAAGTATAAGTAAATAAAAACAAGTAGAATAAATAAAAAACACGGAAGTTATATAATATCCATTTAAAAAATTTCAATCAAGTTCATGGAAAATTTAAATAAAAAAAAATATCGTCAGCTTAATTATAATATAAAAATGTGAAGTTTTATTTTTAAATAAATAAAAGAAAGAAACTTACTCCGGCTTGAAGACTATATCCATCAAGTTCAGCAGGTTCGTCGAGTATTCTTGCAAGACAAGGAGCCGTTGGAAGAAGTCTAAAAATAAAAGAAAAAAATTAATTTTTTTAAAATCTTTTGAAAATTTTCATTTTAAACGAACATCTCGAATATTTAATATACGAATATAATTTAAACTGATACATTTAATATTTCAGGTCCATAGACAAAATATACAATTTTTTAAAATTTAAACTAGTTTTCAAGTTGGCCATGGTTTGCTAGATTTTAACCATGGTCAAAATATTGGTATTTTGTGAGTTTAAAATATTTTTTGACAATGGTCACAGTTCGCCAGATTTTCATCTGTTTTTTCTTCATTAAAATAATTGTCAAAAGTTTTTAGAAAAAAAACTTATTAATCAGAACTAATTTAGCAAAAATAAAAAAAATTTTATAAAAAAAAAGTGGAACATTATAAATGAAATTTATTACAAAATGATTATGCGATAATATTTTCATAATAGACGTGTGTGTCATTCAATGAGAAAATGTTAATGGGATATATTATTTCTCTTCTTGTCAGTGGAACGAGGAAGGAAAGAAAATCAAAATCAGGTTTGGTTCATTATGAAATCGACGAAGGGTCGTAATCGTCAACAGAGAGTCCAGAATAACCAGGAATTCCCAAGACCGGGTCACTCTCGATTTCTCAGAATCTACTCAGAATAATGTCCAAATGATGAATGAATGAAGACAAAAAAACGTACAAATTAAAAAAATAAAAAAATAACTCAAAACCTCAAGTCATTGAACCTGCAAAAAAAAAAAAGAAAAGAAAAAGGAAGTAATAAAAATGCTATTTTCAGTTCTTTGAACTCGGAATTCATTTTTAAAAGTTTCTTCAACTTTTAACTTTTGATTTATTTCTCCTTTTTTGAATATTTTTTTTTATCTTTTTTTTCCTCAATTTTTATCTGCAATTTTTTTCACTTCTTTCTTTTTTATCTTTTAATCGTCCATTAAAAGTTACATGTATGAAAAAAAAGTAAATAAATGACTCTTATTTTAATGTATTGAAATTTTTTTTTACGAAGTGTTTAATTTATTATTGAATTAATTTCTATTTAATAATGTTTAATTGATTAATTAACACTATTTAATTAATAGATAATAATTAAAAAATATTTAACATATTATTTACTGTAATCAAAATTGAATTTATAAATTAATTAATAATATTTAACTAATTATTAATTAATTATAAATTTATTATGGCTTATTAATATTATATATATGCGATAAATATTATTCATTAATTATCAATTAATTAATAAATATTAAATTATTAAATTATTAATCAATTCTAAACATTAAAATATAATTTTTTAATTATTATATTTAATTACATAACAAATTTTAACATTTCTTGAAATCTAATGTAAGAAAAAAATTATTTTCAAAATTTTTTTATAATAAATATATTTTTTCTCTATAATTATTTAAAAGAAAAAATTTTAAATGTATTTTTTCTTGTCCTAATGAATAAAAAATTGATTTTTATATATCTTTAAAAAACTTAAAATGTAAGAAAAAATTTTTTTAAAAATTTTTTTATAATGAAAATATTTTTTTTCTAATTATTTAAATGAAAAAAAATTTTAAATATATTGAATATGTTTTTTTTCTTGCCCTAATGAAAGAAAAATTGATTTTTATAAATATCTTCAAAAGATTTTATTTGCTAGAGAAAGAGACAGGGAGAGAGAGTACGGAGGAGAAATAGAGAGAGACAGAGAGAGAGACACAGAGAGCAAAGAAAGAGAATATAATCTCTAATTCTCTCGGAACATTGTAAAAATCGAATTCTGGTTCTTGCATCTTTATGAAATTCACCATCAGCAACGAGACCACCAGCAATGCTCAAGGTCAACTTGCTAACCATTGGAAATCTTTCGTCTCTCCATTCCGCGGACAATAATATTCCAGCCGGATAAGTGAGCTTGAGGGTCCAGGAGAGCGAGAGAGAAAAAGAGAGACTTTATATAGATCCTGATGGGTACTTTATTGAAATCTTACGAAACAATTTTTTCAAACGAAAATTAATCGATTTTTATGGGAGGACGAAAAAAAAATTTTTTTTTTTAACAATAATAACAGCAATAACAAAACAATACCAACAATAATAATTGCAACAATGGTAATAAGAATAACAAAAACAATGATAGTTTCAACAATATCAAAAATAATATTAACAAAAACAATGATAGTTTCAACAATATCAAAAATAATAATAATAAAAACAATGATAGTTTCAACAATAACAAAAATAATAATAACAACAATAATAGCAAAAAACATTTATAAAATAAGAATAACAACAAAAATATAAACAATAATAATTAATAACATTACTATTGTTATTATTGTTATTTATATTTGTTCAAAAAACATTTTTTAAATTAAAATAATGCCCGACTAAGTAACGCATTTTTTAAAATTTGGATTTTGTAGGTTTTTGAATATTTCTGACTCGATGGTTTCATAAATTTTGACACATATTAGAAATTAAAAACTTCAAATATGTAATTAAAAAAAATTCCATTATAAACTTTTTGAGAAAAATTAGTTCTACAGAATTTTTTAGTACCTAAAATTATGAAAAATTCAAATTTTCAAAGATTTTAATTTGAAATTCATTTTTAAATCAATATTTATTAGAAAATTCTACGAGAATTGAATATTATTTAACTACAAAAATAAATATTTTATTAAATAATCGAATGTTTATATATTAAAATTGAATTTTCACAAGGAATTTTGTCAGCAAATTTTTAAATAATAATTGAATTCTCTTGACAAATTTTTCAAATTCTAATAAAATTTGTAAGAACAATTATTGCATTTTTCGAGAAACTTGATGAAAATTGTATTAAAAATAATTAAAATTATGCAAAGTATTTTATTAAAAATTTTTTAAAATAATTGAATTTCGAAGAAAAATTTTATTATTTATAAAGGTAATTCAAATTTTGACGAGAAGTTTTGTAAATTTTTAAACATAATTGAATTTCTGCCAAGAATTTTATTAAAATTATTTAAAAAAAAAATTGAATTGTTACGCAAAGAATTTCATTAAAAGATTTTTAAGAATTATTACATTTTTTTAAAGAATTCCATTAAAATTGTATTAAAAAAAAATTGAAATTCAGCATTGAGTTTTATTATTTATGAAAATAATTGAAATTTTGACAAGAATTTTATTAAAATTTTTGTAAATAATTGAATTTCTGCAATTATTTGTAATTGCTTTAAAATTTAATTTGCTTTAGTGTTTTTAACTAAAATTCTTCTAAAAAAATCCATTATTTTTATTAATCAATATAAAATATAAAAAATATTTTTAAACATTAAAAAAATGTAACTAATTTCAGAAGAATTTTAGTTATTAAAATTTTTTTAAAATCTAGGTTTTTCAAATTTCTAACTAAATTCATTTAAAATAGATATTTTAAAAAATTTTAAATTAAAACCTTTTGAAGTTTATCTACTTATGAAAATTGGAAACGCAACTCTTTTAAAATTAAATTAATTTTGAAATATTTAAGTGAAATTAAATTTCAAGAATAAAAGCACAATAACTTTAAAAAAACAACAATTTTCTAGGATTTCGATCAAAATTCCCTAGTTGCGTGGCAACCTTAAAAATATATAAAATATAAATATATAAAAATAAATTTTTAGATTTTGAAATTGTGACCATAGTAAAAATATAAAAATTTTCAGATTAAAATTATTTTTCCCGTTGGCCATGATTTGCTAGAATTTTAGCACTGGTCAAAATATGAATATTTTGAGGCTTTAAAATTTTTTTATCGTTAACTATATGATTTAATTGTTTTTCAATGTTTCAGGGAAAAATTTGATTAACTTCTAAAATGATAAACGCTTTATAATGTTAATAAAACGATGAAATAGTCAATCACTCCAAGTCAGGATTCATAATGTTATATAATGTTTAATGTTATTAGGTTATTAGCTTTATAATGTTATTGGGTAAAATATTTTACACACGTAAGATCTTATTTAAATAAATAATTAAAAATTTTAAGAAAAGAAAAATATAAATATGATTACAACATTGAACTTCAAGCACCATTGGATTCTGACCGCGGCACTATAGTGTATATTCATTTGAAATTACTCTGCATTTTCATATATATATATATACATAATGTATTAAATAACATTTCGAGAAATTATGCATTCGAGTAGACGAAAATTTCTGTCACATAAGAGTTATGTTTCCAAATTTCCAGAGAACGTCTTTCAAAGATAATTTAGATCGAGAGAAATAATATTCTTAAATAAAACATATTTTAGGAATTAAAAGTATTTCTTATTTTGCAGAATTTATAGTTTTACAAAGAATTGAATATGTACGTACTTTTTCAAGAAACCTATTTTTTCACGCGGTTCTTTTTCTCAATGTACGAATTTCGAAGCAGAATCCTAAAGAGATATAATATATGTATTAGAACAGTGTAAAATAATGCATTTTTTTCTCTTGACAAGTGGGTTTAGATTTATATATACATATATATAAAATAAAGCGAATTCTGTGAATGATGAAGCATCCGAGATCTCTGGTGAAATACCGATTGACTTGATAAGCACGATTCAACTTGATAAGCAGGTATGTCATGATGAGACTACAGAGAGAAAGATAAGAAAAATGAGATTACTAACATGAGACCACACAAAGGGCTTTGAGGATCTCTCGAAAAAATGCAGAAAAATAGAAAAAAAAGAATAGTATAATAGAAAGGAATTAAATGGAAGTGAAATTTTAACTAGAATTCGAAAATTTCATCGCTATATTGAATCCGCTATTTAGAATTTTTAAATTTTAAAAATCTGGTTTCAGATTTGTAATCAGACCCCAAGAACCCTTGAGTGCCTTTTGAGTAAAAATCTTGAAATAATTCTAACTTTATTTTGAAAAATCGACCGCCATCTTGCATCCGCCATTTTGTATATTTAAGAAATAGATTCACTGAAAAAAAATATTCCTAATTTAAGAATATTTTTGGGGTGCATATTAAATTGGATTTTTCAACTAAAGAGATACTTTTTCGATCCATGTGGTCTTTCAGATTTTCACTATATCATTTTCATAATCAGCGCATAAAAATACGTAAGTATTCCATGTTTCATTAAAATCGGTTGGGGGGTACAATTCGTCGGGGCACCTAAATTTTTTCTTTTATAATATTTGTTTTGTGAAAAACTAAAGAACTTGAAGTTACTCAACAAACCTGAAAGCTTCAGTGATGCAGGCTCTTAAATATTTCGCGGTACGAAGATCATCAACGGATAGATCGCAGCCAGGAGGAGCCAAAACTGCTACTTCTTCGTAAAGTTTTTTCTGAACCTCCGGATAACTACCGATCATGTGAAGCAGAAATACCAGAGTGTTACCTAACTGCGAATAGAAACATTTTTATTCCATTATATTTATACAAACTGTCTCACAAAAAATAAATCAAAATAATAAATTCTTTCCAATGTTTTATGAAATCCGGAATTAAAATTCAAATTAGATGATTTTCACATATTTGATTTTAAGTTACAGATAATTAAATGTGTAAATTAAATGTGAAAATCAATTAAATAAAGAAGCTGAATAAGTAAAATCAAGTAACAATATGAAGTGATTTTATGTTTAGACTTTTTGCGATTTAAAATTTTTCTACTATAAGTGATGATTTCCCATTAAATTATCTGCACAGTAAGAAATAAAGAAATTGTTATATTTACGGTGTGAATTCCAGCGGCGATGAAATCAATTATGGCTGCCTTCTTATCCCGGATGTCGAGGTTTTTCTCTCGCATGATGGATTTATAAACAGCTTCGATGCATTCGTCGTGAGCATCTTGTCCTTGTACCCGTGACGTTTCCTCAACCAATTCTGAAATAATGCTGTACAAAAAATGAAATTCTTTTTAATTACGTAGAGAGAGAGAGAAATTTACATATTTTTGGAAAAATTAGTAACATTTTTTTTTGCAATTAATTAATGCATAGTTTAAATTATATATAATATAAATTTTAAAACCACCCTTCCTTTAGTCTTCAATTAAAGTTGAAGTAATTTTTTAAATTTCGACTGCTTTCAATGTTTGAAGCGAAAGTAGACTGAATCATCTGGGATACCTCGAATTAATGAAAATTCAATAAAATTAATGAAATTTTAAAAATCCAGTTTAGTGCAAGTGACAAGATCTGATGTGTAACACTAAGAGATTCTGTCCATAACCTAACAGCGTAGTTTGGAGTATTTATAGGTAACAAGAAAAGTTTCTTCATAAAGAAGAGCTGAACACCCTCAAGGCTATCTTTGTGGTTTACGCCCCAAATCTGGACTCCGTAGAGTAAGACGCTAAGAGCCTGGGTATCAAAGAGTTTTTGGTAAGTATTCCAAGTATCTGCTCCCAATTTATGAATGGTTTTTAAAATTCCACCGACAACGGATTTAGCCGAAATTATTGCCTCATCCGTAGCCAGGGCGAAGGAGCCAGAATTAGTAAATACAATATAAATGTAATCAGTTGATTAAGTATATTGAGTTAAACAATTTTCTTGATCCATTCCAATCTGGTTATAGAAAGGGATCAAGTACTCAAACTCTTTTATTGAAAGTAATTTTAATTAACTCTTTTATTGATGATATACTTGAGACTATTGATCATCGGATAGTAACCATAATTATCTTTTTTGACTTTAGCAAGGCTTTTGACATGGTTCCGCGCAACCTATTGTGGTTTATCTTTCGGATTGTCTAGTACTGTTTTAAGATGGTTTGCTTCTTATTTTTCTGGTAGAAGTCAATCGGTTATTGGACCTAATGGTGAAAGGTCTCAGTTGGGTAATATTGGAACGGGTGTACCACAGGGTTCTGTGTTGGGTCCTTTACTATTTTTATATTATTTACTAATGATTTGAGGTGTGTTCTGAAGCACCTCAAGTATATTTTATGTTGAAGATCTTCAGATCTACAACAACATTCAGTATCATAATGATTTTGATGAAAATTTATCATTAGGTGAAAAAGATGTCAAAGCAGTTCCTGGAATCTGAATAGATTGAATTTAAATAAAAGTCCCCCAGTTAAGATCAACTGGAACAAAAGAAGAGGATGAAAATTTTGAAAGAAAACTGAAAGACGGAGTATGAAAAGGCAAGTCGTAGTTACTATTCCCATTAAAGAAATGTGAACCTCGTCTATTCCCTGAATGAGATGGGATAATGAAGAAGAATTTTCCTGACAAGAATCCAACTTGTTTTCTGAACTAAGAGATTCCTAATCTCGAATATCCTTGTTTGATTGTCAACTAGACTTACTTGTATATAGCTTCTTCGCTTTGTATCAGTTGTTTGTACGCAGTGGTTGGTAGCAGCTTCCACAGTGGCAAACCATAATTGGCATCTCTCGAGGCAATGAAGTGCGATCTCACAGCTTCCGCCAACCTCGATGTCAATGAACATGGACCTGGCTTTAGAAAACCGAGATGACGTCCCAATATCAGTGTACACGTACCTTGAATCAAAAATACAATTTTCCGTCTAATTTTTACGAATTTTATTTACGAAAATTTTTAGTTATTAAGAAATCAAAATATAACTAAATTATAAATTCCAGGAACACAATGGATTTTCAAAAAATTGACCATTGACTTCTATTGCGAAATCCTAAAAACTGAAAATAGAGTGAAGAAAAAAATTGTGAACCTACTTTCAAGACCCATTCTGTAGGCAATTTCCTCAAATCCATGAATTGTTGAACCAGTTCTTCGACTTCGGATGAGATCAATGAATTCATTGGTGACATTGTTGAGGGCCGGAAAGAATCCAAGGACAGTATTGGCTCCCATTAGTTCCGGTGTCAGGGCAGATCTCAACTTGTGCCATGTTTCTCCTTGCCTAGATTTTCATTCAATTCCAGAATATCAGTGACATTATTGTCACGACTCCGCCTCTTCTCTTTAAAATAAAAAAAAGACACCGCTACTGAGGCACCTTTGAAATCTTGTCAATTTAACTAACTACGAATATTTTTTTTTTTCTATCAATTTATCCTCTCGTTTTTTACATCCAAATATAGCACATTTTGAATTTCTTACTTCTATAACTTAAAATTTATAAGTAATGATAATAAAAAGTGAATAAGAAATAAAATATCGTAATCAAATTATGAGAATATTTTTTAGTTAAAACAATTTATGTAGAATTTTTTCCTGTAGAATTTATTTCCGTAGAAACGCGTAGGAACAGAAAAATGGCAAATTCTATCTAACTATCTATTTGTTAATTAATATTGTTTATAACAATTTAAATAAGTTACTTTTTACAACAAAATGGACATATATTCTTGAAATGAACTTAAATTAAAAACAAAATGTGGAAAAAAAAACATTTTTTCGTGGAGAGGAATCAAAGTTATCTATTTGTTAATTAATATTGTTTATAACAATTTAATTAAATTATTTTATGTTTTATTAATTGTTTGGTGGTCAATTTGGACTAATTTGAACTGATTTAGATCATGTGCAGTAACGGATTAAGAAAGTAAACGCCCTCTTTTAAAAAATTGTATTAATGTATTAACTTTGATTAAAACAAAAATTATAAACAATTAAAAACTCAAAAATCGGCCTCGAGGGATGTCTTAAGAATTTATTCCTCTTTAATTTAAAACAAAGAACACTCAAATCGGTTAAAAATTGTAGGCTGTAGACATTTTTTAACAGTAAATGGATTGAAACTTTTATTATTCGGGGTTTTTCGGGGTCGCTGATTACGAATCCGATGTTCGTTTATCAAAATTCAAAATGGCGGATCCCATATGGCGGACGAAATTAAAAAATTGATCGAATTCGCTTGAAACTTGTTACTCGGGGGTTTTCGGGGTCGCTGATTACGAATCCGATGTCCGTTTTTCAAAATTCAAAATGGCGGATCCAATATGGCGGATGGAATTTAAAAATTGTCCGGATTCGCTTAAAACTCGTTACTCGGGGGTTTTTGGGGTCGCTGATTATGAATCCGATGTTAGTTTTTCAAAATTAAAAATGGCGGATCTAATATGGCGGACGAAATTAAAAAATTGATCGAATTCGCTTGAAACTCGTCACTCGGGGGTTTTTAGGGTCGCAGATTACGAATTCGATGTTCGTTTTACAAAATTCAAAATGGCGGATCCAATATTGCGAACAAAATTTAAAATTTGTTTGGATTTGTGTAAATCTCAAAAATTTCGTTGACACCGAAAACAAGGTCACTGATTACTAATCCGATGTTCGTTTTCCACTGGACAACAATAAAAATAGTTTAAAACCTTAATATTTATATATTTTGACTATATCTTTGCCATTTTTCCGTTTCCACGCGGAGAATTAATAAAATCTATTAAATGTGAGTCGCCTAGCGTAGAGTTGTGTAGATTTTTTTTGTATTATTTATTCGCTTAGAATCACTACCACTCTATAATTTTAAACTAATTTTTAATTAATTGATAATAAAAAAAGTACATCCGAGAGTATTTGAAAATTTGACTAAAGCATATATATATACATACAATTTTGGTCATTTTATTTAGTCAATTTAATTTTTTTTGCAAGGGATATCTCTCTTTTTTTTGACAAGAATATAAATTGGCTCTTTCGTAATGTATATACATAGATATATAATGTATATATATATGTGTGTTAAGCGACCTGAGAGGAGAAATTTAAGGACTGATTTTGCGGCTTGTGGTTACTCACCTTGACGTGGCCTCAAACTTGATCCTATGTTACTTAATTGTGCACGAAAAAAAGGAGATTACGTATATCCATAATATAGATATATTACTTACTCATTGACGAGTCCAAGGTTTGTATAACGATCTTGACGTGAATTTCGATAATGAGAGATGATCTCTTGGGGGGGACGCAGTGGATATTTTGAGCCGCGTTTGATGATTGTTTCGATGTCTTGTCGTGAGAAGACAGAGATAATTGGATGATTCCATAGCCCCTCCTCCTTACACAATGGCCCATAGCGTCGATTCAGATCTACTCTTGATTCAGGTAATTAAACAATGATAAAATACATTAATCTCTCATTATAAATTTTTTTTACACCACCTCTTGCAATATGCTTTAAGAAAAATTCAATTTACATTTTTTTTTTGTCATATTCAAAAAATAATCTCGGGGTGAAAAGTTAATTTTTTTTTTTTTTTTTTAATGAAAATTGCTAAACTTTATATGTAATTTAAAAAATTTTTAAAACCTCAGAATTATACCGATCAAAGTCAAGTTCGACAAGTGGAAATTTTATAAATTAAAAAATTCCAAAAAAAATTAACCACTTTGAAGATCATAAAAATAATAGGTATGTTTAAAAATAAAAAATTTTTAAATCGTCTATTTGTGAAATCGTATACAATGTTGAAAATAAAAAAAAATTATGTTTTAATTTGTTTTCTCTCTGTTTTTAAATCAAATTAATTGACCAGTGACCGATTAAGGAAATGCACTAAAAAAAGAAGCTCATTATAACATTCATTAAATAACTTTACAGATTATCTAATTATGACAACATGTATTACTAAGTGATAAGTTTTTTAAAAAAAAAACGCATAAATATATTATCAACTATCGTTATTTTTTCATTTACAAGCAAACAAATTATACAATTATAATAATAATTCATTATTTTACTTCATAATATCGTATAATTTAAACATAATTATCAGTCGTTTCTCATCAAAATTTCAATGTCAAGAAAAAAAATATCAAATTTTTTCGTGAAATGTAAACATGTAAAATATGGTTTTCAAATTACTGTTTTAATTGTTTCTGAAAAATCACTTATACACATTCCGTTTATATGCATTTTTAATGACCTTATTTATGTGTTTACATTTTTATCTAAAATATTCAAAAAAATCATCAAATATTTATGGATTTTCCAAATTATTTTCCATTTAGAAATAGAATTGTTATCTTAATTAACAAATTTCGAAAATAACTTTCATTTTAATATCTCGAAAATATTTTTTTTAATCAAATAGGTTTTTATTTAAGTCAATTGAATTTTATGTTTGAACCAATAATTTCAGATGAAGACTTAAAAAATTTGTTATCAACAATATTCGATTTCTTTAGAAACATAAAAAAAATTATATTTATAATTATTCTTCGGATATTTGAGTAGATTTTTTTTATTCTAAATAATTAGTTTTAAAAAAAGTTGATATTAATTATAATTTTAGTTATATGTAAATTTGGAGAATTCCTACCTTTGTAAGCGTCGTGAATTTTATTCATATCGTAATATCCAAAACAGGAGTAAATCCACATTGTCCCATAAAATGGCAATGGATATGGTCCGGGGACATTTTTCGCCGTTCTACGTCTTCTAGGTTGCGTTGAATTTGATGAAACTTCTTGAAAAGAAAAAGAAAGGAACAAAATTGAAATAAAAAATGTTAAATTGTTATTAAAATGTTATGTTATTTAAATGTTCATAAAATAATAAAATTAAAAATTAATGGAAACAAATTATATAAAATTATTTCTCTGACAAGCTATAAATTTATTTTGTAGAACAAAAATTAACATATTCGTAAAAAAAAATTAATTATATTCTTTTTATCTCAACACAATTTAATTATTTTTGCAAAAAATAATTAAGAACAATTTAATCAGATCTAAAGCAAAAAAAATAAAATAAAATAAAAACATCTTATTTAATTATAATATAAAAATAAAATACAAAAAAGTACTGCGGTTGATAAATTTCTTTTAAATATCAAGAGCGACAAAAAGTACATAATTTGTTTTTTTTTTTGCGCATACTTTAGTAATTATAATCAAAATCCTAAAATCTGCAAAGTTTCACTGAAAATTTATGATTTCTGCTTTTTTAGAATTGCCCACCAGAGGTTGGAATTTTAATATTTATGATCCCACTTTCCAGCAGAATGTATTCAAGATGATCTACTATATATATTTCGTTCAAGAAAAAAAAATTTTTTTCACATATATAGTTAAAATCCCAATTGTTTTTTTTTTTTTTTTTAATTTCTACTAAAAAAAATTAAATAAATATTCTTAAAAAAAATTATTTATTACAATAAAAAATATTCTCTGACAACAATTAAAAATAGAAATAGAAATAAAAATAAAACTAAAAAAAGAAATAATAATAATAATATATTAATAATATAAATAATATAATAATTTACTTATTTATTTAAAGTCGACGGTCTTGCAAAATAAAAAAAGCCTTAATAATAATTAATAAAAATAAAATTAAACTTGAAAGATTCTCAACTTTCTCTCATTAAATATCGATTGTAATCCGGAAATTAATAATTTTCAATGTCCTAATGTTTATTATGCGTAATTTCTCAGTCGATAAAGATTATTATAATTCATCAGTTTTTTTCACCTTATCGATTCTCGAACTTCTTTGAAACTTTTATCATTAATAGCAGTTATCATTTTTTTTCCAATCATCGTTATTTTTAGAAAGTAAAATTTCCATTATATAGAAATAAAAGAAAATCTAGAAGAACATAAAAGTATACTATTTTTTTCTCCAATTATTGCAGTTTTGACAAAAAAAAAATATTTTCTAGATTTTTAAATGAGAAAATTTTTATTTACTTTTTTTTAAGAAATTAAAAAAATTATATTAATTAATTAATAATATATTAATAATTAATTATTAATCAAATCAAAAAAATTTGTTATTAGAGAAATAAATATAATAAATATCAAATAATAGATAAATAAGAAAATAATTAATAATAAATAATAAATATAATACAAGAAAATAATAAAAATAAATACTGCTGCAATTGAACAGTAGTGAATAATAAATTTAATCAAATAAAAATAGAAATAACAAAATAAGTAATAAGTGTAAAACAAATAATAACAAATAATATGTAAAACAAATAAAAAAAAATAATTTGTAAAACAAATAATGAATAAATATATTTATTTATTATTAGTTTTATATTTATTAATTAATGTGTTGTTCTTCAAAAACCTGTTAGTTTTATGCGTGCAGTAAAACTTCTCCCCACCATCGCGCTTCTTTTACGCATCACTAGCGCCTACACTATTTGACCCAGAATGCCAAAATTTGGTATAAATTTGTATATACATATATGGATAAGAGAAAAATTATAGTGAAGGTGATTCTACGACAAGTAATACTTTAAAGCGTTATCTAATTTTAAAGAAATAAAAAAAAGAACTCTCTTGAGAATTTTAGAATTTAAATGCGCCATAATAAGCTTGCCATTCTTATTTCATTCTTGTGCGCCCACACTATTTTAGAAGTGAGCTAAAATTTGTTACATTTGTCAGGTGTATTTTCGGAATTCTCAAAAAAGTGAAAAAAAAAATTAAGAATTATTTAAATATGTACTATCGAAAAATTTGTAGGTATTATCAAAATTATTTCCAATCTTTTTTTTATAAAATTTTCACAGCAGTTAAACTAACCTTTTCTCTTTATACAACTCAACGTAAAAATTAAAAATCCAAGTTAAATTCATAAAAAATAATTTGAAAATAATTTGTCAAAAATATTAATTCTAAGGATATTAAATATCATTTCTATAAATTTATGAGATTTTTCTAAAAGTAGATTCGATTCAACAGAGATTAATCTCATTCGATATAGATTGCATAAAATCAGTTGATAATTTTTTCAACACTATGAAAAAAATAGGTCAAATTTGAACAAAACTTTAACGTAACTTAACAGCCTCTAAGGGGGCCGTTAGCTTAAATAACCTTGAATTCTTGACCTGTTGGTCAACAATAGGTCACATTTGACCTAAACTTTGACGTAAAATAACGGTTAAATGAAAAAAAAATTGAAAAACCTTAGGTCAAAAAATAGGTCAAAGTTGACCTAAACTTTGACGTTTTTTAAAGTTTTTTTTTTAAGTAAAGAAGGCAAAATTTGATGTACACTTTGACGTAACTTAACAGCTACCTACGGGGCCTTAGGTTAATAACCTTGAAAAAACTTGACCTATAGGTAATAAATAAGTCAAATTTGACGTAAGCTTTGACGTAATAACGTAAAAGCCCCTAGGGGGGACTTTAGCTTGAATGACCTTGAAAAACTTGACCTAGAAGTCAAAAAATAGGTCAAATTCAACGTAACCTTTGACGTAACAAATTTTCAAATGATTTTATATTATAAGGATAGATAAAAAAATTTTTACCTAGATTTTATTTATTTTCTTTATAGATTTTAAAAACTTAATTTTTTTTATATTCTTAGAAACAACTGAACTGTGCCATAAAAAAAAACTGTACAAAAGTTGTAACTATAGGAAAAGTTTCATTTAGAGATTAAAAAATTTTTCTAAAAGTATATTCAGCTAGTAACTTACAATTTGTATTTTACAGTTAGTAATTTGAGTATACAGCAAATATTTACAGAAATTAATTAATATATTTTAATTAATAACAATTTGTAATTTACAGTTAGTAATTTGCAATTTGAAATTACAGTTAATAATTTTACAGCCAGTAAATTGCAGTTCGTAATTAACAATTTGTAATTTACAGTTTAAAATTTACAACAAGAAAATTACGGTTTGTAATAAACAATTTGTAATTTACAGTTTAAAATTTAAAACAAAAAAATTACGGTTTGTAATTAACAATTTGTAATTTGCAGTTATTAATTTGTAAGTAGCTTATAATTTGCAGTCAGTAATTTTCAAACATTAATTTATAGAAAGTAATTATTTTACATTTTTTAATTATTAACAATTTCTAATTTATAGTTAGTAATTTACAATTTCAAATTTACAGTAAGTAATTTACAGTTAAAATTTACAACTATTAATTTACAGTTAGTAATTTACAGCAAGTAATTTTAAGTTGGCAATTTACACCTATTAGTTTACAGCAAGTAATTTAAAGTTGGTAATTTACACCTATTAATTTACTGCAATTAATAGTTTTACATAATTTTTAAATTATTAACAATATTTAATTTACAGTTAGTAATTTACAATTTACAGCTAGTAAAGAATATTCGTTAATTATTAACAATTTGTAATTTATGGTTAGTAAGTTGCAATTTGTAATTTACAGTTGGTAAGAAACAGTTTGTAATTAACAATTTATAATTTACAGTTATTTATTTACGGCAAGTAATTTACATTTAGTAATTTGCAACTATTAATTTACAGCAAGTAATTATTTTATTTATTAACAATTTGTAATTTATACTATAGCTTATAATTTGCAATTTAGGACTAGTAATTTTCTTTTTTTAATTATTAACAATTTGCAATTTGTAATTTAATAATTTAAGTTAATAATTTATAGCCAATTATTGACAGTTTGTAACTAACAATTTGTAATTTCTATTTAGTAGTTGACAGCAAGTAATTTTACAGTTTGTAATTTTCAACTATTAATTTACAGCATGTAATTATTTTACATTTTTAACAATTTGTAATTTATAGTTAGTAATTTACAATTTGTAATAAACAATTTGTAATTTGCAGTTAGTATTTTGCAATTTTTCTGATAGTAAATTACATTTTTTTATTAATAATAATTTGTAATTTGCAGTTAGTATTTTGCAATTTTTCTGATAGTAAATTACATTTTTTTATTAATAATAATTTGTAATTTACAGTTAGTATTTTGCAATTTGTAATTTACAGCGAGAAAATTACATTTTTTAATTCTTTATATTTGTAATTTACATTTATTAATTTGCAATGTAGGGCTAGTAATTTACATTTTTTAATTATTAACAATTTGCAATTTAATAATTTAAGTAATAATTTACAGCCAATAAGGGACAGTTTGTAATTTACAATTTGTAATTTATAGTTAGTAGTTTGCAGCAAGTAATTTTACTGTTAATAATTTACAACTATTAATTTACAGCATATGTAATTAATTTACTTTTATAAATTATTACCAATTTGTAATTTATAGTTAGAAATTTACAATTTGTACTTAACAATTTGTAATTTACAGTTAGTAATTTGCAATTTGTAATTAACAATTTGTAATTTACAGTTAGTAACTTGCAATTTGTAATCTCCAGTTAATTATTATATACAGCCTGTAAGTTACAATTTGTAATTATTACAGTTAGTTGGTTACAATAAGTCATTATAATTAAAATAGTTTATAATTCAAATAAATTAAATTTAAAAAAAAAACTTGGAAAATGCAAATAAAAAAAGCAATGATGAAATTATATTTAAAAAATAAAGAGTAAAACTCACCCTTGCAGAGTGTTTTGATGACAAACCACCATGATGATCTGTAGCTGGAGGCCAACACGAGGACAGTGAAAAATGCAACAACAACAACCTCGAACCATGCTCCGGACATCAGCATCATATCTGAATTTGTGTATTGTTTCTACAACAACAAGAGCAACGGCGCTTTTTAATATCAACAAGAGATTCACCTCTTCCTCCTCCTCCCCCGCGCATACCGAAGATTATTTACACTTTGAAGACAATCGAGTGGTGAAGTGACGGGACTAGTGGAGTGGAGGGGGGGCGAGGACAGTGGGAGGTGGAAAGAAGATGCTTATAAACCGTCAAGTGGTTGTATTTATAGTGGGGGGGGAGAAAAAGAGAAAGAGAAGAGTTCTCTTCTTCTTTTTCTTCTCTTTCTCTTTCACTCACAAGCTCAATCACTACAATAATTGTATAATTTGAAACTGACTCGCGTGTCACTTCTAGTGCCACGGACTGTCTGAATAAGGAGCTCCGTTAGTTTTACTCTTTACTCCCTTTTCTCACCAGTGAAGAAAGAAGGAAAAAAGGGAAAACAAATGTTTTTCCTTCTTTCTTCACTGGTGAGAACTTTTTTCCTTCTTTCTTCACTGTTGAGAACTTTTTTTTCCTTCTTTCTTCACTGATGAGAAAAGGGAGTAAAGAGTAATAAAGCATAATAAATACAAGGAAAATGAGTATATTATTTAAAAAAAAGAAAAAACTATTGTTCAGAGAGAGTGAGTAAAATTGATTTATAACTCGATTGCTCACGACATATTCTCTTATTCAATGATAACAAAAACTTATTCTTGTAGTATAACTAAAAAGATAAACAAAGGAAAACTGACAAACGTTAATCAATTAATGAAAAATAATAATAATAGTAATAATACTTAGGATAATGAAGAGAATGTTATTTTAAGTAAATTTCTAGCACGTGCTTGTTTATCAAAATCTATAAAAGAAACAAATGAGAAATTGCATACTATATATTATAATTTTGCCGGAAGTAGAGAGATTTCAGGGGAAAAAAATTTTTATTCTAAAATTTTTACTAGGATTTTTTTCATGAGTATATTAATGTGTATTATCTTATAATACTTTAAATATCAATTTTATTCTCATATCAATGAAAAATGATAGGAGTGAATATTATTAACTAGTTTTAGAATAATGCAAATTTAGAGGAAAGATAAAATTGTTGTTATTGAGAGGGGCGCTTTTTGTAAACAAGATTTGAAGAAAATAAATTTTTTTCGTTACTTCGCACTCTTCTAGTAAAAACTACTATTTACTACTTTTTTTACGTTATGCTACTATTTGGGTACTTTTTTTAAATTTAACCCATTAAAAGCTACTATTTCTGTTTTTATTTGAGAATTTCCATTACTTTAAATTCGATAATACTACGTACAAATCAAAAAACTATTTTTAAAAATTATAAACAAATTTTTTAAATAGATTCAATAATTTTAAAGAAAAATTTGAAATTCAATTATTTTCAATATTTAGAATTCGCATAAAATTTAGCAAAAAAATTCAATTATTTAAAAAAAAATTCAATTATTTTCTTAAATAAAAAAAACTCTACGCAAGAATTCAATTTTTTTCAAATAATCAAAAAATTAAATTATTTTCACAAATAAAGATTTTCACAAGAATTCAATTATTTAAAATAAAATTTTCATAATATTTATTATATTCTCAAAAAATTTAATTATTTAAAGCAATGTTTATAAAATTCTTATGAAGAATTCAATTATTTTCATAAATAAAAAAATTCATCGTATAATTTCAATTATTTTTAATACAATTTTACAGGAATTGCGCTCAAAAAATGCAATTATTCTTTAAAACTTGATTTCATTCAATTCCTCGAAAAAAACAATTATTTAAAAAAATTGTTTTTTTCAAATTCCTTGGAAGAATTAAATTATTTAGAATAGAGCTGTGCAAAATTCGAACCGAACCGAGTTTAGTTCGGTTTTGGGGCGCCGAAATGTCGAATGTCGAATATTCGACATTTTAAAAAATTCTTATAAAATCGTTCACAAGAATTTAATTATTTAAAATAAAATTAAAATAATAAGAAATTTAATTCTTTTTAAACATTTTAATAACATTTTTCGCAATAATTCAATTATTTTCATAAATAATAAAATTTATTTCAATTAATTTGAATACTATTTTACAGGAATTGCTCAAAGAATGTAATTATTCATAAAAATTTAATTTCAATTCTTCAAAAAAAAATCAGTTATTTAAAAAAATGTTTTTCAAAATTCTTTGGAAGAATTCAATTATTTAGAAAAATATTATTGTTCACAGGAATTCAATTATTTTCAAATATTTTAATAAAATTATTCGAAAGAAATTAATTATTTTAAATACAATTTTAATTAAATTTTTTTTTTTAATAATTTAATTATTCTTTTAAATTTTAATAAAATTCTACCCAAGAATTCAATTATTTACATAAATAATTCTTCGAAAAAATTCAATTTTGGCGATAAATAACAAAATTATTCCCGAAAATTCAATTATTTTGAATATGTAATTGAAAATACTGAAAGTATTGAATTTTAAAAATTTAGAAGCTATAGCTTTCATAATTTTTATTAATTTTCATTTTTAAATTTACATCTAAAGATTTTTCATTAACATTATAAAAATCAATAGAAATTAAAATAAGTTCAAAATCAAAAATAATTGAATTAAATTAAATCTTAGAAACTTTAATTTTTTTTATTAATTTATTTTGTTATTTTATGGCGATTGTGTGCAAAAAGCACACAATCACCATAAAGTAACAAAATAAATATTAGAAATTTCTAGCCAATAATATTATCGTAAATTTATTAATAATAATCTACCGGGATAGAAGATGGTGCAAAGTCTCGACACACAAGTCACCTATATTCCTTATCAGTGAAGTTGTCTTCGGAAGGCACATCATCAGTAGTTCAAACATTCTTTAAAGATAAATAATTCTTCTTTTTCTCCCTTTTCTTGACTATTGAGAATCGTCGATTAAATGATGCAAAAAAAAAAAAAAAATTTGCAATAAATCGTACCATAGTCAGGGACTTTGATGCGTTTTCTTAAGAGAGAAAAAGAGAGAGAGAGAAAAGGGGGGAGAGAGAGAGAGAGAGAACCCCCTACACAAGAACGAGGCGACAAACGATAAAAAAATCAAGAGTCACAATGGTCATGGTATTTTATTATTCATTGATGCGCGATAAACCATGGACAATATTAGTGGGGGCGAGGAGAGATGAGAGAGTGAGAGAGGAGAGAAGGGAGGTGGAAAAAAAATAGAAAGAGAGGAAAAGAGAAAGATTTGCAACGACAAGGGACGCTTCGTAGGAGGCTGCAACTCTTTATATATAAGAGCAATCTCTCCTACTCCCTTTGCCTTTTCTTCAGTTACTTATTCGTATACCTCCTCTTTCCTTTCCGCCTGTCCCTCAGATTAACATACTCCATTATTTTTACTCCTCTCTTTCCCATTCTCGACCCACCTTACATCAATTTTATCTCTAAATATCCCGTCTCTCTTAAAAAATTTCCTCCTTTTTTTTCCATTTAACTTCCTGACAAACAAGACTTTAAAAAAAATAGTATAACAAAAAAATAAAATTTCATCAAATTATCAAAATATGTAATAATTTTTTTTTTCTCTCACAAAAATGCCTGACCTGCTCTAATTATAAATTTACTGATAAAATAAACATACGAACTTGAATGATTATTTAATCGCTCAAGGTTAATTCTGTAATTTTGAAATTGAAAAATTTATTTGTAAATCATTGTTTAAAACGACGACGAATTTTTTTTTTTTTTTTGTTTAATCGGTGGTGACCCTTCGAACCATCCACGAATAACATCAAACGTAATAAGCAATTATAAATGATTAAAATATATTCACAAAATTTGATATCCGTACACAAAACAATATTTCATGCGATTCAATTATTGAAAAATCATAATTATAATAGACGTGAAAATTGTTATAATAAGAAATATATTTTTTCTATCAATATTTGATAAGAAATTTTAGAATTTTTAAAAACTAACAATGAATTTGTAATTAGGGACCTTAAAAACGCATGAGTAATATATATTTTTAGGCAAATTCGAGACGTTAAAACAAAAAGTCCACCATATTGGATGCGCCCTTTTGAATTTTTAAAAACTGACCCCAGATTCGTTTTCAGCAACCTCAAAAACTCCCGAGTAACTGTTTTCAAGTAAATTCAGTCGATTTTCAATTTCCATGTCCGCCATATTGGATCCGCCATTTTGGATTTTTAAAAACTGACCCTAGAATCGTACTCAGTGACCCCAAAAACTCCTGAGTTTATAAAATTTATGATCTTTTTCAAAAGTCATCCGCCATTTAAATTTGTTAGAAAGTAACGCATAGTTTTTTGTAATCAGAGATCGAGAAAACTCCGGAGTAATCACGAATTTAAGTTTTTCCGAAATTCTTTCGTCATATTGGATTCTTGATTTGAAAAAAAATAAAAGCTACAAAAACTCCTGTGTAATCTTTTTTAAATAAATTTTAGCACTTCTTCGAAATTCTTTGGTAATTTAAAATTTTGTAAAATCTAACACTGAATACTTAATCAAAAAGCCTAATATCCCTGAGTAACAAGTTTCAAGCGAAATCAGGTGCTTTTTAAAAATTCTACCGCCATTTTAGATCCGCCATTTGTAATTTGTAAAAACTAAAATTAGATCCAAGTATCGTATATGCAACGTCAGCAAACATAATTTCAATAAATTGGAAACTAAGTAATTAAGATTATTTGCATGATAACATTAACATAATTGCACTATTATAGTTCTTCGAATTAGTTTATTTATCGAACTTTGCACTCGTACGCAAATTGAAAGAATGTCTATTTGCTTCGAAAGTGCGAGAAAATAAGGGAAATTAATTGTTAATGTCAAATTAAAACGTTATCACGTTATACGTCTGTCCTATTTGCAGCTATAGTCAACTATTCACAAATAATAACATTTTGATAAGCACTTTTTATATGTTCACAAAAATTTAATACATTTATAGTTTATTTACACTCTCTTCCACATTTACCCTCTCGTTCCCAAACACTCTTTTTAATTGTA